ACGTGAACCTATATATATACCAAAAGTCCAACAGAGCAAACACATATTTGAGTACAATTTTATCAACCTACTTCAATTCGTTCAGAAGCTAGAGTGATTTCCACAGACGGACAGACATCTCTAAATCGACATAGAATTTAATGCTGATCAAGAATATATTTGTGGGCCCTAAAATGTATATTTCAATGTGTTAAGGACGGAATGACAAACTTAATATACCCTCCGTACTCTGGTGGAGGGTGTAAAAAAAGGATAGTTTGACGTTCTCAATTTTACCCACTTGGTCTATTTTAAAGATCCGACCATTTTGGCTGTCATTTGTCGTTTGGAGCCTTCTACATTTTATACAATTTTCGGATTAAGATTCCTAGGAATCTTTGCATTTAGGTTCGGCATGGCCGAACTTACAACTTTTTTATTTCTTTAGCACTACTTTTATTGTCTGCTGTCTTCCTGTAATTTTTTTTTATGTTGCGCGGTGTAATTAGCAATATGGGTGCATTACCGATATAATGCTCACCGCAGGTTTTGGGTATATTAAAGTTATCAGTCATCGTTTTCAAACGCATTTGCTATAGTGAGACACAGTGAGACATGCGAATTTCGGCTCGAACGAGTTTTCGACCATTACTTGATACAACAGCATCTTTATTATTCAATTTAATTGTCACATCTAATAAAAGTTGCAGACAAGCTTTAAGAAAAGGGTTACACTGACAGCTATGTCTTTCCATTTAACTCAATTCCACCTTAGCAGGTAAAAAAATAAAAATAAATAAAAAAACACACACACATAAGTGATGCTTACTTTTGGCGCGAAAAGCTAAACAATCCATAATGAGACGATGAGGATGATATGAAGCTGATCAACATCATCATCATCATCTCTCAAAAGGAATGCAACAGTTGCTAAGCCGGACTTGTGGTCGGTCATCAGTTGTTGTTGTGTGAAATGAAAGCAAAAACAAAAAAGGAAAAAAAGGAAAAAGGAAAACATTTCCAAAATCACAAACATTCCATTCCAATCATGGTGCACAGCACATAACCCTTTGTGTTCCTCAGTTGAGTGTATTTGTCTTTCTTATTTTTTTTCGCGCGAATGGGCAATGCATACATGGGACGCGGCGTAGCACCTATGAACGACATTTAAAATGGATGATCGATACTTTTTGGAGTGAAGCGAAGCATAACCTTTATGAATGTCATCAACAACCAAGCGTTGTTGTTTATCTTGACAAAAGGGGAAAAAAATAAAAACTGAGGAATAACTCATTACAAAAGGATTATGGTGATGTGCGGCCTGCTAACAAGCTACGGTGATGTGGTCATGCTACGGTGTAGATTGGCGCATGTTATTCATATTTATACACCGGCGTTTAACTGATGGAATAAACTTCTGCAGATGAAATTTTATTTTGCATTTAAACCACAGTTATAATAGCTTGAATATATACCAATTTGCAGCTAATAATGGAAAATTTTTAAATTTTCCTAAAAACGTAGTTAAAACTGGAAAAGAACTCCTGCGTTGGGAGTATTAAATGGTTGATTGGGTTATACGAATACAAGGACATGCCTAGGCAATTTTCAGTCAGAGACTGTAGTATGCATTACGAACTTCAAATGCGAAATTTGAAACAATTCCGGTAAATAATGTCGCTAAAATCATCAAAATACCGAATATTGGGAGGTATCGTTATATGCGAAAATACGAAACGTGGGCCTGCATAGGCAATTTTCAGTCAAAAACTGTAGTACCCATTGCGAACTAAAAATACAAAATTTTCCGGTTAAATAATGCGGCTTAAGTCGTCAAAATTCCGAATATTGGGAGGTATCATTATATGCGGGCTATACGAAGACGTGGACCTGCATATACAATTTTTTGTTATAGGCTGTTGTATCCAATACGACCTTCAATTTGAAACAATTCCGGTGAATAATGCCGCTAAATTAATAAAAATCCGCATATAGGGAGGTATCGTTATATGGGAGCTATACGAAGACGAAGCTTTAACTACAGAATTTGAAACAAGTCCGGTGAAGAATGTCGCTAAAATCATGAAAATACCGAGGAGGTATCATTATATGGGGGTTATACGAAGACGTGAACCTGCGTACACGATTTTTTGACATAGGCTGCAGTACCGATTACAAACTTTAAATACGAAATTTGAAACAATTCCGGTACAAAATAATAAAATCACGAATATGCCGAATATTGGGAGGTACCGTTATATGGGGGCTATATGAAAACGTGGACTGACATGGCCCATTTTAGCCTGCTTACATGCAAAATACTTCTCAGTTCATTCCAAATATATCAATTTCTCTTCTGGATCCAGAGATAAAAAAAGTTTGAGTAAAAAAAAGTTGACAACACTGTTTCTATCGGTAGGCCTTAATGAAAAACTAGTTAAAGAATAGGGCTACAAAGGAGAAAATCTCAATATTATGACTTATATAAATAATTCCAATCGTCGCAATTAAAGACCTATTGACAGGTATCATAGAAAAGGAAGAGTGGGTTATGTAAGGTAATCGGTCCATTTTTAAAAATTCGAGAAATTTAAAACAAGTAACAAAACAATAAGTTCGGCCGGATCGAACTTTTAAGACCCTCCACCTTTGGGTAAGGAAAACATTTTTATATAGAAGTATCTGAATCCAAACGTGTTCCAATTTAAACTAAAAATACCAGTAAGACCGTGTGGATAATATCGCTAAACTCTTCCAAAAAAAACAAAGTGGGTGAGGCAGTTGTATGGAGGCCATACCAAAACGGAAACCCCATAACAATTTTATACTTCAAGGATTGTCATCTACCAAATCCTTCCTTAAATATCAAATTTGGAACAATTTCGTGGGTAAATGTGACTAGGATTATCAAAATACCGAGTATCGGTGGATATCGTTGTATGTGCGCTATAGGAAAACGTGGAGCTGAGTTCTCAATGTTCTACAGCTGGAATCCATTATGACCTATAAATATCAATTTTTAGACAAACTCGTGGTAAAATGTGACATAAATCGTCAAAATACTGAATATCCGGAGGTACCATTATGTGGGGGGTTGGGGGCGGGGGTTTGCTATACAAAAATGTGGACCTATACATACTATGTACCGCCACAGGAGGTAGAACCCATTATGAACTACCAGTACCAAATTTTGGACAAATCCGTAGAAAATGTGGTAAAAATCATCATACCACCGACTATCGGGAGGGGCTATACCAAAACTTGTACCAATATAAACTATGTTCCGCCACAAAGGCTACTACCTATTACAAAAGAGCTATAAAATCTGCCAAAAATCATAGGGGGGTACCGCTTTATGGGGTTATACAAAAATGTGGACCTATACATACCGGAGCAAGAACCCACTATGACCTAAAAATACCAGTTTTTAGACAAATCCATGAAAAAATGTGGCGAAATTCATCAACATACCGAATAACGGGAGGTACCGTTATGTGCCGGCTATACCAAAAAGTGGACCAATATATCACATCTTTAATATCAACAATAATAGACTCAATACAAATTGTTCTGCCAAATTTTGTATCACTACGTCGAATAATGTGGGGTGCATCGTAATTTCAAGAGACGACAGGCAGACGGATTTCGTTAAATCGGCAAGGAATTTTATGCTTATTATCAATATATATACTTTATGAGGTTTACGACGAATATTAAGGGATGTTACAAACGAAATGACAAGTTTAATATGCCCTCATTTTTAAAGTAGAGGGTATAAAAAGGTCCGGTAGAAAATTTGAGATTTTCTTGTCATTACATGACCATTGTTGTATAGGTATTTGTAAAAGATTTCAAATGACACCTATATTGTTTATATCGGTTCTTTAGAAGCTCATGGATCAGAGTAGGTGATAAAATTTCCCTAAAAATTTTGAATCTCTACGTCGAATAATTTGGGCTGCATTGTAATTTCGACAGACGGACATCGTTTATATATATACTTCATGGAGTCTACGACAAATATTTAGGGATGTTACAAGCGGAATGAAAGGTAAAGGTTATAAAAAAGGTTCGGTAGAAAAATTTAGATTTTCTTGTCATTACATGACCATTATTGTATAGGTATTTGTAAAAGATTTCACATGATACCCATACTGTGTATATTGTTTCGTTAGAACCGAAAATTATTCGCTTTTTATATCCGAAATTTCTGGGCAAATATCCGTTTAACCGGGTCTTTCGTCCACAAAAAAATATTTTTCCTATAATCAGGTAAAAAAATCTCAAATGCATCAGAGGAGGTCCAAAAATTTCCCTAAAATCTCACCTTTTACTATTCCTAGTTCTACTTTAATTGCAAAAATAAAATTGTCGTCATTCCATACCCCCGACATGTGCATTAGCATTGACTGTACAAATAAATACCGCTATATCACCGTATCACTCACTCACTATCTGCTTAAGGGCATGACATTGTCAATCAAATTCCATAGCTTAATTATGCCTTTGTACAATCGAATTGATGAACATAACCTCTATTTTTTGCACACTTGAAATGATGCCATTGGAAATGTCTGTTGTCATTCGTAGACATAGTTTTACCTTCCTTTTATGGTAGCCAAGAAAAAAATATTCTCCAATAGGAATCACGTGGACATTTGAATTTCCCCTGAACATAATTCCCAAACACACACTGCACACTTTAAAATTGCACTAAATATCCTGACACAATGGCTCCTTGGTTTTAACACTTATCTTCTATTTATAGGTAGGTTTTCAATAAAACATAATGGTAGTCTGCCAGACTGTCTGGCTTTCTGTTAGGTTGTCGTTACATTGTCTGGTCGATATAAATCAAGGTGTAGAACATGTGTGTGTGTGTGTGTGTGTGGGAGGTTATTCTTACTAGGATACACATTTTACACCAAGTTTGTCTGGCCAAAGCCACAAGAAGTTGGGGGAATTTGTTAGAGCTCCTTGGAAACTTAAGACAAAAACAATTCTTTTCACTATCAACTTACTTGATTTTGTACATTTATCAGGAGTTGGCCACAGCACGTTCTTAGCAGCAAATTGAATAGCAGGAATAGAACAAAATGTAGTTTGTGCACAGACGCCAGACGAAGACCAAATGTTGTGCTTCCACCACTGCCACCACCGACAACGCCAAAATCATTTGCAGAAGAACGTTGTCTGACTTTATTGCCGGCAAACAATAACGGCGGCGACAATGTTGGGGGTGCTGCAAACAACGACAACAAAGGAGACGAAAATCCATGTCGCCAACAGCATTTGGACGCGACACTATTGTTGTTCTTGTTGGCCGTAGTTGTAGAGGTGATGGTGTGGACATTATCGTAGCTATTGGTGTTGTTGTTGCTGTTGATGCTATGATGTTGTTTTGTTGGTGGCTGCTGACAATGAAGATGATAAGTACGACAACATGGTCTCAGTGAAAAGGGATATTGTTGTTGCTGTCTATTGTTGGTGCTGATAATTTGCGACGCTGTTGTTTTGGTCGTCGTCGTTATCGTCGCCGCTGCCACAGTCGACGACGTCTGCCTTTGCAAACTGTCTGCTGCGTCATATGAGCATTGCGGTGTTATTAAAGGCATTTTATCATTGCACATAAAATGAGCAACAGAACAGCAATTCTTGTTCTCTGGAGGAATGCTCTTTCTTTAAAATTTATTCAATAAACTGGCAATTGAATATTGAATTGAATATGTTCACACACAATAACACAGCCCCGAATACGTTCTTTCTTATCTTATTTAGACGAATTCCTCATTGGCTTGAATTCCAATTAGAAATTTTTTTGACAAAAAAAAAACGGAATTTGCACACCACAGACATCGAACAAACCACACAAGACAAACAAATGAACTCGTCGTCGTCAGAGAACTAAACAGAAATGGCAAAAAGATAATAAATGATATTTTGCTTTTTTTGTTTTTGTCGATTTTTATCACTTGCTTTTTATTATGTTTTCTTTTTCTTTTTTTTGCTATCGCAGTTTGGAATCTTAAGCGAATTCTTCAAAGCTCACATGTAAAAAACACTTCTACGGACGAGGCGTCACAGAAACTTCCAATTAGATTCGAGTAATCGTATAACAAACAACCGCACTTGTCTTCCGCCAGTGTGAATATCGCGTAAATAGCTCGACTTTTCACATACACGAGCCGTGAAACACTATAGTTATTTATAAAATATTTTATTTGTTCCGTACAATATCCGTAAATTCATCCATTCGCTTTGAATTTCTTCTTATTTCTGTCAGCTGTCAGTTGGTGTTTTATTGACGTACAAATTGTTTTGCATACGCCATACGACGCAGTTTACGTTCTTTGTTATGTGGAGGCGGGTTCACATGGCATCGTATGTTGCTAAAAAGTCAATTGAGGGATGTTCAGATAATAGAGAGATTATGTCATGGTACATGATGTAATAATTAGAAGTAGAAGCAAATTCCACATGATTTGACTCTGTAGTAATACTAGTGTCAATTGCGATATGGCGTTTTGTGATTTAATTCCATTTCTTGATATACAATAGGTATACCTTTTTTGATATAATATTTCAATGCTGGAAAATGAGAACATATTTTTGCCTAATAATAGAAAAATTCGGAAAAAGCAAAATGGTGCAGATAGGAACGGCGAAATCACACTAGGCAATATAGTCGTATATTAATGCTTCTTAAAATTTCAAAATTTAGAATACTTTTTGTATGTGTGCAGTTTGGTTTATATTTGAAAGGAATGTTGCCTTTTCCACGGTTTGCTAGAGATTGTTTGAAGCGTTGAAATATTTGGACTCACAGCTAAGAAGTATACATTCAGGGGAATGATATGAAAGCATTAAAATTAAATATTTCAAGAACAATTCTTCTGAATTTTAAATTTAATAATCCATATACCAAGAATGGACATTTTTGAAATTAGAATAATTTATTGAAAATTAATTTTTTTGTTTACATTTTTGGACATATATTTCTGACACTTGCATTACACGCAAAAACAAATTTGTGTGTGGTTGTTGTTACGTTTTTTGTAAAACAACTAAAAGCAAAAAATATACAGCCCTATGACCGCATTCTGTCAGAATTATAGAAAATTATATGCAACAAGTTGTTTTCATTTATTTAATATTTTTCCTTATTTTTTATTATTTGCGTGAAAGATGAGAGAAATGCCGGAATTTTCTCTCTAATATAGGATCCAAACAGTTCAATCTTTCAATTCCATGATAATACAATAATACGCGTATATATCTTCCAATCATTGATTTTGAAATTATTTTGTTTATATATTTCAAAACAATAAATACATACACAAAATTTAGAGAAGTTTATAATTTGAGTAAAAAAAAGAGAATGAAAACCATGGCGGAAGAACAGAGGTAGTCGTATCTACACATCTGCTGGGACAATGAAATGGCAAACCAATTTTGAGACTGAAAATTTTGAATGAAGACATCGTGTGGAAGTTAAAATCAGCTGGGTAATGATGCTTTTACCACTGACGGAAGGCGACTTCGCTTTCTAGACTTTTCAGTCGACTAATCGTAAGTCGACTTACAAATCCCTATTACTCTCGCCAATTGTCAACAGCTGTTTCAATCACATTGGGGCCCGGCAGAGAAAAACTTCTAAAGGAGGAATTATCCAACAGATTTCTTTCGAAACGAACATTTTGTATTAAAATATCGAATAAATAAAGTCTATATGATTTCAACAAGTCTCGCATTAAGGCATAATTCGGCCAAATTAAACAAATTGTGCTGTCAAGTGGATAGAACAAAATGTTTGAAGAATTTTGCAACGACAGCTATAGCTGCACAGCGACATGGTTCTTCGTCTGGCGATTCTAGTCAAAATAACCCAGAGGAGAGACCGGTTTTGGGGCAGAAGAACAATGCGCTTCAAAGGTCACAACAATTGATGGTGGTACGTTCCTTTAGCAGCAACAAAGATGCAAAAGCACAAGACAAAGAAAAAAGGCCTCCAACATCGACGGACTTGGATCATGCCTATGGTGTGCTGAGAGAGTCATTACCGAAACTTTTTATCCAGCCTTTGGATTATTCCATTTATGATCCAAATTTGGAATTTCAAAATAACATCACCGGCAAACATACTGTGGGACTTTATCACTATGTGAAACAGATAGCCCTGTTGCGTACGGTGGGTCACTTGAAGTATGCCTATGTTAAGTTTGAAGTACTAAAGATTACCAAACATCCGGAGGACTTTTCCATTAAGATACGCTGGCGTGTACGTGGTATTTCCGGCCTAAAGGTTATGTTGAACTTTTGGAAATACAAACTTTGGGACATCAAGGGCATCTTTGAAAATCAGGAAGCCTGGTATGATGGATTCTCCATACTGTATTTGGGTGATAACGGTCTAATCTATAAACACATTGTGGACAAAGTAATGCCCGATCAGAATACTGAGTTGGATGAAAGACCCAATGTCGTGGAGCCAAGTGGTATGGCTGTATCATCGAAAATTGGCTTTTCGGCAAATGCCAAAGTAGCCGCAGCTGCTGCTGCAGTCGCCTCAGCAAAAGCGAAAAAGAAGTAATGATGTGGAAGTAGCAGTTGTGTGTAAATTTTGTTATGTTGTTTTCTCTCACTGCTATTCTAGTGTATAATAATATAAGAATTATGCTTTTGAAGTATATACATATAAGATGCTTGCATTCTCTTTTTAATTTTTAGCTTTTTTTCAAATTAAATTATTAAAAGAAAACAAAAAATGTATGAGTATTTGTCGACCACTAGATGGTAAGTTATATGATAATTGGAGTATATAAGCAAACATTATATTTCTTCAGAAAACACCTTGAGATGAGAAAACTGCAACCAAATTCAGACTGCTGTCATTTCTAAGTCACTCATCCGAAAGCTATTAAAATTATTCCAGTGACAGCCCAATATATTGTTTACAAGAGTACAGAAGCATTTTGGTGACAATTTTCTAAAAAAAAGTTATTCGTGATGGAATTCAATTCGTGATAGTGTGATTTCTTTATATTTGGCTGGAAAACCACAAGTGGCTATCGTTAGAGCACTCCAGCATTTAAATGTGAATAAATCTTTTGTTTCTCGTACTGGTAGACAGAAAAAAACAGCAACATCAGCGGAAATGGTTCGAAAAATAAAGAAGCTACTTGATCGAAGCCCGCGTCGCAATGGCCGAAAAATGTCTCGTGAGCTGAAAATATCGCAATATTTCATTGGACAAATATTGAAAAATGAGCTCGGGGTAAAGCCATTGAAATTCCAAAAGGTGCAAGAACTTACACCGCATCAAAAAGAAAATAGACTCAAAAGAGCTAAAGGGTTGCTTCGCAGCGTGTGACGGCTCCATTGGCCGTTTGAAGGCCATAATTCGTGCCAAAGCTGACCAATTCGAACAAATCTAAAATTATTCTAAAATGTGATGCTATTTCTGACATTTTTTTTTGCTTTCATTCAAGGAAATTAAACAAAAATTTAAAAATTATGGCTTTTGACTTTGTTACAGTTTTTTATCTCACCCTGTAATGTGACATCCATGGATTTGTATTAATCTATAAGTGCATCTTCACTCTTTCTCCAATATCTTAAATTCGGTGCGGCCATAACCCAATGAAATCGCCATCATCATTTACGAGATTGAAATAATCGATTTTCAAATTTGTGTTTATTAGTCAAATAACTATTCCGAAAAATATTTCAATACTTTTTAGATTTGTACATAGTTTTTTGAATATTAAAATGACCACTTAAACACCAATACTAGTCTCTTTCACTACGAAGTCTCACCATACATCTTTCTACGCTTTTCTTTTTCCCACTCGATGGGATGATATTTTCTTCGATGCAGTGATATACTTCCACTGCGATAGAATGTTGCAGGGCACCATTGACAAGTGAAGAGGGCGGTTCCGGTATGTCGGGCCATGTGGTACTAGAAAATATAAGTAAGTTTTTTTTTTTAATAAAATTTTAGCTTTTATCTATCTTTCCCCTACCGTGTAAATATCTTTTGTCTTAAATTTCTTATCGCACACCATACACTGGAACTTATATACCGTGGAATGGACCAAAGAATGTGATTTTAATGCTCTTAGGTTAGGACAAACTCTTGGACACATATCACATTTATATTCACGATTTCCCCCCGGCGGATGTTTCAGATCTCTATGGTATTTCAGAGTTACCTGGCTTGTCACCAGCAAGCCACAGTCTTCACAGCGCACCGGATTTGGATTGTGTCGTAATTTGTGCTGTTGATATGCGAAAAGTGTTGGCAGTGTTTGGCCACAGATTTCACATACCCGCGAGAAATGTTTTAAATGGACATGCTTGCGATGGTATTGAAGGGTTCTTTGGCATGTATATCTGGAATTCAAAATTAACAGACCATGATTAGCATTTTACAAAATAATTACTTTTTTCCACATACAATTTACCACAATCTTCACAGGGTAGGCTCTTAGCCGGCTGAGGCGAATGCATTTTTCGTTGATGCCTTTGTAACATGTAATTCCTTGGAAATTTCTTATCACACAAATTACAAGCAAACTTTCCATCTTCATGAAGTTCCTTGTGTATGCGAAGATAGCTTCTGGCCGTAAATTGTTTTCCACAATGGTTGCATTTGAAATAGTCCGGATTTAAATGATATTGTATGTGATCTACTAGGTATTTACGAAATTGGAATTTTGTATCACAGCATATAACATGGCCACGTTCCTTATGAACCTGGCGACAATGTTTTATATAAAGTTTAAAGGTTTCGAATGGCTGGTCACATTTTTGACAGGCAATTTTAAAATGTTTCTTTAAGAAATCATCATATTCTTCTTTAGGCAATTCTTCACGTTCACCAATAGTTTCATTAGCGTACTGGGAAGATTCGTCGTTATCATCACAAGTTTCTTCGTCCTCGAAATGGTCTTCAATATCTTCATTTTCTATAATTTGATTTTCATCCAATTGTTCTTCTTCGTATTCAAAGCTTTTATTATCCTGCCTATCGACATTCTCCTCGTCCTCTTTGTAATTCGCATCTCTACGTTTGTTACCGCGACTCGAATTTTCCATGCTGATTGTTTCTTCTTCAGAATTATAATCTATATTTTCATTCTCCGATATACAATCACCATCGCCCCGGTTACTGTACTCATCTACATCCTTTGTTGGCTCCTCTACATCATCTTCAAGCATATACTCTTCCTTAACATTCCCCTCTAAGGGATCATTTTCCAAAATTAAATGATGTGATTGAAGATGTTTCTGGACTTCCTGTATTTTTGTATAGAGCTCGTGAAAGGCATGTAATACATCCCAGCAATATAGACAGACGGAGGAATTATCTGGAATGTGTTGCTAGCGTAGAGAAGACATTTAAAATATTTTTTTATTCTTCAAAAATATGTACACAACTTACCATATAGCACAAGTGTTTATCTATTATCTCTCTTACGTTTTTATCCTTCCATTCAGGAGACTGAGCTTTTATGCACATGGTGTCGTCTTCTATCGATTCACAACACAATATGCACTTGGGAACCTTAAAAAACAAATTACATTCTGAAGGATAATGCTTTGATGAACAAGTTACCTGCTTAGAAATACTTTTCTTTTTAAGATTTAATTTTCTATTCAAATGCGTTTTCGAAAGATTTACATTTTCATTGGCTTTGGCAGAATATTTCTTCTCCACAAATTTGTTGTGATTTCTTTCTTTGGGCTCTTCCGAGAGAATTCTTTTCAAACTGAAGTTATTCAATTGCTTACTGTGTGCAGGACCCGGTGATGACAGCTCAATGGAATATTTTGTTGTAACAACAGCACCAGCTGAATCCTTATCAGATATTTCATCATCGCTAAAGTCCTCTTCTATAAATTCTATTACTATGGAATAAAATATTGATGACCATAAGAATTTTAACTTTTATTTAACAACAAACACTTTACATACACATATCTTGTGATTCTTCCCGAATATCTGTATGGGATCTTGACAGGAACAACTCTAGTTTAGTAAAAACTCTTAGATTTTTTCGAATTTTTTTCCAGAGGTAGGTATTTTTACGCTGATCCCGGGAAACTATTTTTTTCTTGGGGGACGGACCCGGGACCCCAGATTTTTGACCCGAAAGTCCGGGATCAAGACCCCGCCTGGACCCGGATCCACTTACCCGATATAGACAATATGGGTATCGATTGAAAGCTTATGGAAATACCTATCCAACAAGTGGTCACATGAAGGGGTAAATTGTCATGGTTCGGAAGTTATAGTCAAATTATCGATTTTTTGGACCCGAATTTTTTATGAAACCCCCAAAAAGTCAAAAAAGGGCCTATTATGGGGGTCAACAAAATTGCTTCCAAATTATAGCTGACATTCTTACCTTTCCAAAATGCTACAATTTGTGCTAATACCTTTTTCGGTTCCAGAGATATGGGTCTTTCCATCCGCATAAACCGATTCTAACCAGTTCATTAAAATGATGTTTTTAATAAAAAAAGTGTTTATTTCGCGTAGCAGTCGTCGGAATAACAAAAGTTTTCTAAATTTGGCACTTTTTGTAAATAGCCGGCCTTCGGCCGGGGCTTGAGATTTTCTCCTCTTGGTATGTCCTACACCGGATAACGCGAACCAAAGTTTCCTAATTTGGATACCTTTTGTAAGTAGCCGGCCTTCGGCCGGGGCTTGAGATTTTCTCCTCTGGGTATGTCCCACACCGGCTAACGCGAACCAAAGTTTTCTAAATTGGATACCTTTTGTAAGTAGCCGGCCTTCGGCCGGGGCTTGTGATTTTCTCCTCTGGGTATGTCCCACACCGGCTAACGCGAACCAAAGTTTTCTAAATTGGATACCTTTTGTAAGTAGCCGGCCTTCGGCCGGGGCTTGAGATTTTCTCCTCTGGGTATGTCCTAAACCGGCTAACGCGAACCAAAGTTTTCTAAGTTTGACACTTTTTGTATATAGCCGGCCTTCGGCCGGGGCTTGAGATTTTCTCCTCTGGGTATGTCCCACACGGGCTAACGCGAACCAAAGTTTTCTAAATTTGACACTTTTTGTAAATAGCCGGCCTTCGGCCGGGGCTTGAGATTTTCTCCTCTGGGTATGTCCCACACCGGCTAACGCGAACCAAAGTTTTCTAAATTGGATACCTTTTGTAAGTAGCCGGCCTTCGGCCGGGGCTTGAGATTTTCTCCTCTGGGTATGTCCTAAACCGGCTAACGCGAACCAAAGTTTTCTAAGTTTGACACTTTTTGTATATAGCCGGCCTTCGGCCGGGGCTTGAGATTTTCTCCTCTGGGTATGTCCCACACGGGCTAACGCGAACCAAAGTTTTCTAAATTTGACACTTTTTGTAAATAGCCGGCCTTCGGCCGGGGCTTGAGATTTTCTCCTCTGGGTATGTCCCACACCGGCTAACGCGAACCAAAGTTTTCTAAATTGGATACCTTTTGTAAGTAGCCGGCCTTCGGCCGGGGCTTGAGATTTTCTCCTTTGGGTATGTCCTACACCGGCTAACGCGAACCAAAGATTTTTGAATTTCATTCTTACGCAAAATATACCTTTTTTTATTGTTATGCGGATGGAAAGACCCATATCTCTGGACTCAGTAAAGGTATTAGCACAAATTGAACCTTTTTGGAAAGGTAGAAGTGTCAGCTATAATTTGGCATCAATTTTGTTGTCCCCCATAATGGACCTTTTTTTGACTTTTTGGGGGTTTTATAAAAAATCCGGGTCCAAAAAATCGATAATTTGACTATAACTTCCGAACCGTAACATCTTACCCCATCATGTGACCACTTGTTGGATAGGTATTTTCATAAGCTTTCCAAAGATACCCATATTGTCTATATCGGGTAAGTGGATCCGGATCTAGTCGGGGTCTTGATCCCGGACTTTCGGGTCAAAAATCTGGGGTCCCGGGTCCGTCCCCCAAGAAAAAAATAGTTTCCCTGGATCATGGTTAAAATACCTACCACTGAAAAAATTTTCGAAAAAATTGAAGAGTTTTTACTAAACTAGAGTTAAGCCCAAACGACTTTGATGTTCTTTAAAGGTAAGCAGCATAAAGATGTAAGAAACGGATCACTTTACATATGTCTGTTGATAAATCATATTTGTCTACCTTTACATCAAGTCAAAAACAAAAGTATCTTTTGCGTAAGCCAGATATTCCTTGTTGCACTGAAGCATATAAGTATGACTTTCCTTTCGAAAGCTTTGTTAAACATTCAAAATAAAAAAACTAATAAAAATAATACCGGCTAATTACATTATTCAATGTTTATGTTTTTATTGCCATGCTGCTTTTTCTTCCAGTAATTCATTCACTATCGATTGACTTCCCCGTTTTAGGGATCTTTAGATACAACTTTTGCTTTGGCGAAAAAGACTGTTTACTTGAAATAAAAAATGGGCATTTTTTACTTGATGAATTTACCCCTCAAAAAGTGCCCACCTTAGGGTCCGATTATATATTAGTTGTGTCCCAAAACTAAACGTTTCTATTACTAAGGACACTCTTGCTCAAAAATTCGTTCCCGTACTTCAAAAAGTTGCAAAATTGTCACTTCATATTAAACTATTTTTACGTTCTCTTTCGGCGAGTAAGAGCGGAAAACTGCAAAACATCGAATATGACATTTCAATTACAGCAAAAATACTATTCATACTTTGTTTTTATACACATTTAAGGATTTTGTGAAATAAACTGCTATAGAATTGCATTTTCCCTATTTACTTCGAAGTCAAACTACCTTTTTGAAGTGCGATTCTCGTATTCATTTTTTGAGTTACCTACAAATAATAGGAATAACATTAAAATGCTTATAATTTGTGTAGTTAACGAAAATTTTCGGCTAATTAGCGACAAAAATAAAGTAGACGCTAAGCCCTGCCGATAGCATTATTTTGCGTCGTAATTTTACTGATATTTGTCGGTAACTCAACAAATGAGCTAAAACATCCAACTACTGGTTGTGTCATGCTCTCATATATTGAAGCCTTTGGGACACACTGAGAAATAGGCCAAAATAAATTTTCGAGATAATGGATAAGCAAGGAGAATTTTCTCTCAAGAAGCTCACAAAAGGTGTGTCTGGTTACTTTTCCTCCAGGAATTGTCTAGTAACATCTTTCTGAGAGAGTAAGGTAGTTTTATTCTCTGTTGCAGTAAACAGGCGGTATTCCTGCAGAAGCTTGCAGCTAATCAGCTGATTTGTCAAATCAAACCAATTTGTCCCCCATTAAAAGAATAAAAAGAAAGGAAGCACCTCCAATTTCACAAGTTTTATAAATGAAACGGTAATTAGCAATAAAAGAAAATATGAGCAATGAAACAAAGATAGATTTTAGGTGTTCCCCGGAATCCTTGAAACGTGTTGCTAATGGCGATTGTTTAAAAACGTTGGAAATAGTCTTTTATTCTCTTGTTATATATTAATATTTATGTTTTTCACATTTTGCAAAGTAGTGCTCAAAAAGCTATTAGTCTTGCTCATTCCCATGGTAGAAAAATACAGGTAGATGCATCAACGTTTGGGAACATTGATATGTCAAAAAACTTTAAATGTGTTTTCAAATATAAGTAGATTCTTAAATGTTTTTTATACGACGTTATTCGGAGGTCATTATAATTAGCGTTTTTCAACAATTTTTACAAATTTAAAAAATTTTTTATTCAACATTTTCAATTCCATAATTGTTTTGACAGTTCATTGTCCCAGTAGCTGTGTCGATGCGTCTACCTATATTCTTCTACCATGCTCATTCCAAAAAAAAAAATTTTCAAATTGAAAGCACAAAAACAAATAAACAAACAATAGAAAACATCTGATTGAATGCCAATGAATGAGCAGAAGAAGAGTTGCAAGTGATTGCAAGAAGAATTTTAGCCAGCAAGTATTTGCAAACTCTCACTGAAAGAACTGTCAAAATTTCTCTCTTCGACCGGACTTTTGGGTTAACAGACGACTTCCAGTAACAATTTGTAACAATTGTTACAAATTTTATGGTAACCAGACACTCCTAAAATTTCGTATTAAACACTTTAGCGTCTGTTATAAGACCATAGTTGAAAATTTTCTTGAAAGCTTTAAATCATGGTTGAATTAAGAAGTATAAGTCATGCAATCATATGTTTACAATTTTTTAAATTTATTCATTTGACAACATCTCATTGTCAAAATATTTATTTATAAATCCATTGTACATACACAGAGATGGAAACCTGCTTTCTGTGCAGTAACATTTGACAAGGTAAATTAAAGAAAATGCAAAGATAGGAATGCCTATTTGAAATTATGTTACCTTCTCAACTTTACCGTGCTTTAAATTTAGAAAAAATATAATATATAAAGTTGAGTTTACAATCAAAATAACGCCAATGACTGCACAAAGGTTTTACCATAAATATTTCTAAGGTTTTTCCATAAGTATTTCTAATCAGTTCTATGTATATGAATTAAACCACAAAACAATCCATCAGTGGACCTAAGCTATTGCATCAAAATGTCTATATACACATGGCATTGCATTGGAGAAGGAGAATTTTTGCAAATGTTATGATTAATAGATAAAATAATCAAAAAAAAAAAAAAAAAAAAAAAAAAAATACAAATAAAAATTGAGAAGTGCGAGAAGTGTTTTGTTAAGACAATTGTTTTATTGTTAGGAGCTTGAGAAGCAAGCTGACGGCTTAAGGTGAGAATACATAACATACTTTTTTGATACGCTTAAGTCATCGGCTGGCTTCTTGGGAAGAAATTAAAGCAACGTAAGGCCAAAATAGAACTAAGTCAACTTAAAACTCCTTTGTTCCTCTACGATGAAGATTGCCGTTCTTTCACCTTTAAGCCAATTTAAAAAGCTTTCTATGGGTTGAGCGTCAGTGCAACATAGTCTTCGTTGCCTAAAAGTTTCTCATCTTTGGTAATTTCATATTTAGCGAATCGTCGTACATTAAGTTCTCTTAATAAAGCCAAAATGCAGAACAAGAATGCTTCTAGGCCATTCAGTAATTTTTTTAAGAGTTTACAACAAGAGCGGATCATGAAGAGTTTTGCGGAGTAGCATAAATTGTTGCCTTTTTCATGTTCCTGGAAGAAATACGGATCGAGATATTTATTAAATACATCGTCTGATCCTGGAGTTTTTTTTTTTATTTCAAGCTTTGCGTAATTCCACCACAGTAAACCGTGGTGTGTTTTGTCTTCAAATAAGTGGCATTGTGAACTTCTTCTCATAGAGACATCCAGGCTTTTTTCTTTGACTCTTTCATAGTTGCCCTATGTTACGTCTTTCTTGTCTATATGTTTTCCTCGCTTCATTGTCATCATTTTTCTTGTTGCCAGTCTTTTGGTTTTGTGGCGATATGTTCGTTCCACTAGTAGTCTTCTTTTTGAATTTGAGTGAGCACATTACTAGGGTTGCTTACTGTAGTGTTCACGTCTTGCAGATGTTTTTTTTTTTCATAGCTACTTTTAGATCCAATAATCGATTCTTACATCTTTCAAGGCACATATGTTATGCCTTATTGTCATCATAAATTATTGGTGGTCGCTTAATGTTTCTTCTTTTAAAGTTATGAATGATAACTGTTGATTTCACAGTATCTTCAGCGGTTGGTGATGCATATTTAATGGAGATAGCAGTACCCTCCATCTAGCCTACAAAATACCAAATGTAGTTTCTATGGTCCTTCAGGCTCTGGATAGCCTCATATTGAATTTTTCCCTATCTGCAGGATGAAATGTCCCTGGATAAGGACGCACGAGGTTTCCCGAAGTGGAAAGGCATCGTCATCTAATATTGGAATTCCTTAATATTCCCCCGTCACTCCAATATCAACCATACTGAATCTGTAGTTGATTGAGAATATACCTTTAAATGAAGTTTGTGGGTAATGTATGGAAATTGTAAAGAAATATTGTACATGCCTTTGTAATTGAAATATGGATTTATTTTCCGTCGATAGCGCCGATGCAATGACCAAATTTCCACTGCTTTTCACAGTCTTGTGCATTACTTAGCCAAGTTTTTTTTCCACAATTTCCCAGATGTTTCTTTTATAATTCTTCGGACTGTTGACGCTCCCATTTAAAACGTTATACACAAATATTTAACACTTTCACCATATGCCAGTTATCTGAAAATATATATATGTGTGAAGGTTATCATATACCGAAACGCATCACAGTGAAATATCAGTTTGGTAGAACGACCTGCCAAATTGCAAATAATTTCAAGTGTAATAATATACTTACGTTAAAAACAATCTACACTATACAGATATAATAGGTCCAGGTGAATTTGTATATAAATCCGCTTCCATCGTTATATAAAAATTGTCAAACATGGCGGGACTTATTCGTACCATTGTGTGGAACTCTTCCCGGTCAATGCTATGCAGCTTTCAAAAAAATAAATAAAGAGCAAATACACTTACTCAAAATCGTCTGTTTCTTATTTGCGGTAGATCTTCCAAAATATCTATTAAATCTTTGAGAACCTTCACATAAAATAACATTTGTTCGTAATCCATTTTTCAAATAAAAACAGTAATATGCCGGCCTACTTAGAGTTTTATGTGCGTTACAAAAAATTTAAGGACTTTACGAAGTCTGCCACTCAGGATGTTTATGTCCCCTCATCTTTATCGACTGATAGCAGCAGTGTTGTACACATGCACTGATGCTTTGCCCTGTTTATCTTGGCTCTAATTCTTTGATTCACATTTTCTGTATTGTTCGCTGATAAGAACTATCTCAATATGTCTCATGCTTTCGACTAATATCCGTTAGTACTACACCTCCTGAATATTGAGCTTCTGTCGTTTCCTTAACAGAATCCGTAGTTTTTTGGGCTAAAACCTGTTTCGGACTCGACATGTTAGTATTCCCAGATTATTTTAGTGCATTTGAGACTTTTTTAGCTGTGTGTTCTGAAACTTCAACTAAAGCTTGTTTTGTTCCGCCATAAAAATTTCATATATTACGTATTTTAATTCATTCACAATTAGTTTCATATGTTATTTCCGATATGCATGCAATAATCTTATTGTCATCCGTTGTTTCCTGTAAATCCTGAAAGTCCAGGAGCAATTTGAACAGAGCAATCAAGTTTATTAACAGCACTTTCAAGGGTTTTAGTGGGTCCATCCTCTTTTCCCATCCCGATGTTCAAGTTTCTTTCGTTTTAGGGTTTTTCTTCTACCGACTCCAATTTCTTACGGTTTTATAGAGTTTCTCTTTTTCTGAGAATATCTGCATAACTAAAATCTTCGGACCATGTGAAAAGAATACAGGAAGATGCATCAACGCTTGAGAACATTGATATGTCAAAATTAAAAACAAAAAAGATTTTTAAAAATATGCAAGTTTTCTTATACGACAACAATCGGAGGTTGTTATAATATGCATTTTTCAACAATTTTTTACAAATTTGAAAATTTTTTCATTAAAAAATTTCAATTTCAAAATTGGTTTAACAGTTCATTGTCCCATCAGCTGTGTCAGTGCGACTACCTGCATTTTTCTACCATTCTCCGGACCTTAGTGGTCCAAAATTTAACTGAGTCAACCTAAACATTTTGTTGCTGTACCATGGGTACAACCATGGTACAATGAAGAGAAGGTAGGTCAACTTTGAAAAAATTGCAAGTATAGAGGTCTACCTGTTTGGCTTGTAATGTCAGAATTACTATCAAAACAATAAAAAATCAAACAACTTGTTGCATTTATTTTGAATAAATAATTTCAAACCGCGAAAAATGAATGAAAGGTCAAAATTTCTTTTCAAAATCATGTTCTATATATCTCTTATGGTTTATTTCGCGACAAAAACTGTAGATTTTGTCGAGGTATACTTTGCAATAAGCATTTTGAAAACACCCAAATTTGAATATTTCCTGAACAATTTTTTACTATTGAAAAAATACACACACATAAACAAATGAAGTTGACATATTAAGCCCGAAAAATAAAAAAAATTGAAATCATATGGTTGTTCTGCCCTACCTTGAATTCATTGTACCATGGGTACAACTAGAGAAGAGCGAATTGTCGTATCGCGAAACTTAGATGCCAAATTCTCTTTAAACCTTAATCCATATCACAGACTCAGAAACTTAGAATATTAAGCGATTTTGATAAGAACGCATAAAATCGTTCTGGATTGATTCATCCCATACAACGTAATCAAACGTTAAATTGATTAAAATGTGCTGGTACACATTATCTATATTTGTACTTGTTGAAAAAAAATATATTTTTGTTGACAGGTATAAAAAACATTGACATTATTAGGAAGATGGTGTTTCCCCACGGGAAAATACATAATTATATTACGAAGGGAATTTTTTGTGTTCGAGGAACAAATACACACACGCACACATATTTGGAATACGTGCTTAAAAATACAGTAGTAAAAAATGAAATCCCCCAAAGTTTGCCGCCAACCATCCAGACATGTTGCCATTTATATATAAAAGATGTATTCAAACAATAAACGAAATCAATTTCAAAGTAGAAAACATACGCTAAAGGAGAAAATGAAATTTTTGTGGGTTTTCGTTGCTTTAGTTGTTTGTATACAACTGAATTACGTTTGTTCACATCCTGATGCCGAATTTGGTGATCAACAAAATACCTTGGACTTGGAATTAGTATCGGGATATAATAATGCCATGACCGCAACCGGAGAATTGTATCGTCAAAAGCGTTTAACTTGCAGCATTGGAGGCTTTGCTTGTTCCGCACATTGCCGTTTGAGGGGACGAAATGGTGGTTATTGTAGCCGAGGCATTTGCAGATGCAAATAAACCAAATCTTAAATTTTAGTGTAATTTTTAAAGAAGTAAATAATTTTATTTTCAAATACCAAAATAAAGTTGTTAATATTTAATAAAAGTAAATGATTTTTTTTTCTTAAGTTAAGTCAGTTAAGAAAAATGTTAAGGATTCCAAAGGACCTATCAGACGAAATGTGTTGTACATTTGGGTTACTATTATTTTATCCAGTGAAAATGTCAAAATTGCCATGTTCTTTTTTAATTTTCACTGATTACATTGTATATAGTATTGTGGTGAAAAAATAAAAAAATTTCCATCTAAGTGAACTATGTTGCCAGAAAGTAGGGAAAAATCCTTCAACTATTCGTATCAAGCTAATTTATCACAAAATTCCACTTGATTTGTAATTTACTGACGTTAATATTAAAAAAATAATAATAATAAATGGCAAGACAACGAGGACATACCACTGTTGAAGTGAGAAATTTAGTAATTAAACATTACAAAACATTACATAAATCGCTAAGTGAGATATCTGAGATTGTTAATAGAAGCCGATCTACAGTTCAATACATCATCATAAGTCAAAAACGGCAAATAATAAAATATTTACCAACATTTTCAATTCCATAATTGTTTTGACAGTTCATTGTCCGAGTAGCTGTGTCGATGCGTCTACCTATATTCTTCTACCATGCTCATTCCAAAAAAAAATTTTTCAAATTGAAAGCACAAAAACAAATAAACAAACAATAGAAAACATCTGATTGAATGCCAATGAATGAGCAGAAGAAGAGTTGCAAGTGATTGCAAGAAGAATTTTAGCCAGCAAGTATTTGCAAACTCTCACTGAAAGAACTGTCAAAATTTCTCTCTTCGACCGGACTTTTGGGTTAACAGACGACTTCCAGTAACAATTTGTAACAATTGTTACAAATTTTATGGTAACCAGACACTCCTAAAATTTCGTATTAAACACTTTAGCGTCTGTTATAAGACCATAGTTGAAAATTTTCTTGAAAGCTTTAAATCATGGTTGAATTAAGAAGTATAAGTCATGCAATCATATGTTTACAATTTTTTAAATTTATTCATTTGACAACATCTCATTGTCAAAATATTTATTTATAAATCCATTGTACATACACAGAGATGGAAACCTGCTTTCTGTGCAGTAACATTTGACAAGGTAAATTAAAGAAAATGCAAAGATAGGAATGCCTATTTGAAATTATGTTACCTTCTCAACTTTACCGTGCTTTAAATTTAGAAAAAATATAATATATAAAGTTGAGTTTACAATCAAAATAACGCCAATGACTGCACAAAGGTTTTACCATAAATATTTCTAAGGTTTTTCCATAAGTATTTCTAATCAGTTCTATGTATATGAATTAAACCACAAAACAATCCATCAGTGGACCTAAGCTATTGCATCAAAATGTCTATATACACATGGCATTGCATTGGAGAAGGAGAATTTTTGCAAATGTTATGATTAATAGATAAAATAATCAAAAAAAAAAAAAAAAAAAAAAATACAAATAAAAATTGAGAAGTGCGAGAAGTGTTTTGTTAAAACACTTGTTTTATTGTTAGGAGCTTGAGAAGCAAGCTGACGGCTTAAGGTGAGAATACATAACATACTTTTTTGATACGCTTAAGTCATCGGCTGGCTTCTTGGGAAGAAATTAAAGCAGCGTAAGGCCAAAATAGAACTAAGTCAACTTAAAACTCCTTTGTTCCTCTACGATGAAGATTGCCGTTCTTTCACCTTTAAGCCAATTTAAAAAGCTTTCTATGGGTTGAGCGTCAGTGCAACATAGTCTTCGTTGCCTAAAAGTTTCTCATCTTTGGTAATTTCATATTTAGCGAATCGTCGTACATTAAGTTCTCTTAATAAAGCCAAAATGCAGAACAAGAATGCTTCTAGGCCATTCAGTAATTTTTTTAAGAGTTTACAACAAGAGCGGATCATGAAGAGTTTTGCGGAGTAGCATAAATTGTTGCCTTTTTCATGTTCCTGGAAAAAATACGGATCGAGATATTTATTAAATACATCGTCTGATCCTGGAGTTTTTTTTTTATTTCAAGCTTTGCGTAATTCCACCACAGTAAACCGTGGTGTGTTTTGTCTTCAAATAAGTGGCATTGTGAACTTCTTCTCATAGAGACATCCAGGCTTTTTTCTTTGACTCTTTCATAGTTGCCCTATGTTACGTCTTTCTTGTCTATATGTTTTCCTCGCTTCATTGTCATCCTTTTCCTTGTTGCCAGTCTTTTGGTTTTGTGGCGATATGTTCGTTCCACTAGTAGTCTTCTTTTTGAATTTGAGTGAGCACATTACTAGGGTTGCTTACTGTAGTGTTCACGTCTTGCAGATGTTTTTTTTTTCATAGCTACTTTTAGATCCAATAATCGATTCTTACATCTTTCAAGGCACATATGTTATGCCTTATTGTCATCATAAATTATTGGTGGTCGCTTAATGTTTCTTCTTTTAAAGTTATGAATGATAACTGTTGATTTCACAGTATCTTCAGCGGTTGGGGATGCATATTTAATGGAGATAGCAGTACCCTCCATCTAGCCTACAAAATACCAAATGTAGTTTCTATGGTCCTTCTGGCTCTGGATAGCCTCATATTGAATTTTTCCCTATCTGCAGGATGAAATGTTCCTGGATAAGGACGCATGAGGTTTCCCGAAGTGGAAAGGCATCGTCATCTAATATTGGAATTCCTTAATATTCCCCCGTCACTCCAATATCATCCATACTGAATCTGTAGTTGGTATCATAAACGGCCATCAATACGATTGAGAATATACCTTTAAAAGAAGTTTGTGTCTAATGTATGGAAATTATAAAGGAATATTGTACACGCCTTTGTAATTGAAATATGGATTTATTTTCCGTCGATAGCGCCGATGCAATGACCAAATTTCCACTGCTTTTCAAAATCTTGTGCATTACTTAGCCACGTTTTTTTTCCACAATTTCCCAGTTGTTTATTTTATAATTCTTCGGACTGTTGACGCTCCCATTTTAAACGTCATACACAAATATTTAACACTTTCACCATGTGCCAGTTATCTGAAAATATATATATGTGTGAAGGTTATCATATACCGAAACGTATCACAGTGAAATATCAGTTTGGTAGAATGTCCTGCCAAATTGCAAATAATTTCAAGTGTATTAATATACTTACGTTAAAAACAATCTACACTATACAGATATAATAGCTCCAGGTGAATTTGTATATAAATTATATAAAAATTGTAGTACATGGCGGGACTTATTCGTACCATTGTGTGGATCTCTTCCCGGTCAATGCTATGCAGCTTTTCAAAAAAAAAAAAAAAAATAAGGTGCAAACACACTTACTCAAAATCGTCGGTTTCTTATTTGCGGTAGATCTTCCAAAATATCCATTAAATCTTTGAGAACCTTTTGTCTTTCCCTTAACAGAATCGGTATACGTGACATTTCTGTACACAACTGAATCATCGTTTGGGATAAATCCTGTTTCGGACTCGACATGTTAGTATTTCCCGATTGGTTTTAGTGCATTTTGTGACTTTTTAGCTGCGTGTCCTGGAACTTGACTAAAGCTTGTTTTGTGTCGCCATAAAATTTTCATATATAACATACCTGAATCCCCTCGCAATTAGTTTCACAAGATGTTTGCAATAGGCTTGCAAAAATTTTGTTGTCCTACGTTGTTTCCTCTAAATCCCGAATGTACAGGAGGAATTTCGACAGCACATTCAAGTTTTTAGTGTGTCCATCCTCTTTTCCCATCCCCATGTTCAAATTTCTTTCGTTTTAGAGTTTATCTTCTACCGACTCCAATTTCTTCTGGTTTTATAGAGGTTATCTTTTTCTGAGAATATCTGTATAACTAAAATCTTTGGACCATGTGAGAAGAATGCAGGAAGATGCATCAACGCTTGAGAACATTGAAATGTCAAAATTTTAAAAATGATTTTTCAAAAAAAAAAAATTTTTCATTCAAAATTTTCAATTTCAAAATTGGTTTAACAATTCATTGTCCCATCAGCTATGTCAGTGCGACTACATGCATTCTTTTATCATTCTCCGGACCTTAGTGGTCCAAAATTTAACTCAGTTAACCTAAACATTTTGTTGTTGTATCATGGGTACAACTAGCAAAAGAGCGAATTGTCGTATCGCGAAACTTAGATGCCAAATTCTCTTTAAACCTTAATCCATATCACAGACTCAGAAACTTAGAATATTAAGCGATTTTGATAAGAACGCATAAAATCGTTCTGGATTGATTCATCCCATACAACGTAATCAAACGTTAAATTGATTAAAATGTGCTGGTACACATTATCTATATTTGTACTTGTTGAAAAAAAATATATTTTTGTTGACAGGTATAAAAAACATTGACATTATTAGGAAGATGGTGTTTCCCCACGGGAAAATACATAATTATATTACGAAGGGAATTTTTTGTGTTCGAGGAACAAATACACACACGCACACATATTTGGAATACGTGCTTAAAAATACAGTAGTAAAAAATGAAATCCCCCAAAGTTTGCCGCCAACCATCCAGACATGTTGCCATTTATATATAAAAGATGTATTCAAACAATAAACGAAATCAATTTCAAAGTAGAAAACATACGCTAAAGGAGAAAATGAAATTTTTGTGGGTTTTCGTTGCTTTAGTTGTTTGTATACAACTGAATTACGTTTGTTCACATCCTGATGCCGAATTTGGTGATCAACAAAATACCTTGGACTTGGAATTAGTATCGGGATATAATAATGCCATGACCGCAACCGGAGAATTGTATCGTCAAAAGCGTTTAACTTGCAGCATTGGAGGCTTTGCTTGTTCCGCACATTGCCGTTTGAGGGGACGAAATGGTGGTTATTGTAGCCGAGGCATTTGCAGATGCAAATAAACCAAATCTTAAATTTTAGTGTAATTTTTAAAGAAGTAAATAATTTTATTTTCAAATACCAAAATAAAGTTGTTAATATTTAATAAAAGTAAATGATTTTTTTTTCTTAAGTTAAGTCAGTTAAGAAAAATGTTAAGGATTCCAAAGGACCTATCAGACGAAATGTGTTGTACATTTGGGTTACTATTATTTTATCCAGTGAAAATGTCAAAATTGCCATGTTCTTTTTTAATTTTCACTGATTACATTGTATATAGTATTGTGGTGAAAAAATAAAAAAATTTCCATCTAAGTGAACTATGTTGCCAGAAAGTAGGGAAAAATCCTTCAACTATTCGTATCAAGCTAATTTATCACAAAATTCCACTTGATTTGTAATTTACTGACGTTAATATTAAAAAAATAATAATAATAAATGGCAAGACAACGAGGACATACCACTGTTGAAGTGAGAAATTTAGTAATTAAACATTACAAAACATTACATAAATCGCTAAGTGAGATATCTGAGATTGTTAATAGAAGCCGATCTACAGTTCAATACATCATCATAAGTCAAAAACGGCAAATAATAAAATATTTACCTTGAGTGATGAGAAGTATATTTTACGGCAAATCAAAAAGAATCAATTTTTGAGTGTACCGCAGCTCGCAAAAATTGCTGAAAAGGATTTAGGAAAAGTGAGTTGCCCTCAAACCACGAGAAATATACTGCACAAGTCGAATTGCAATGGAGGAAGAGCTAGACATAAACCTCTAATCAGCAAGCGAAATCAAGAAGTAAGATTGCGATTTGCCAAGGAGCACATATCAAAAGATTTTTCATTTTGGAAGAATGTGCTGTTCAAGGAGGGGAGCAATTTCAACTTTTAAGGTTTCGATGGGCAGACCTTATATATGGCAAAAGACAAATGAAGCGCTCCTTGCCAAAAATATGAAGCCTACAGTGAAGCACGTTCATTTTTAGCCTCTGCACCTGGTGTATTGCATTTTATTGAGGGTATTATGGATCAGACTATTATGTACTATAACATTTTGAAAAAAAGCTTATCACTCTGTAAGGAAAAAATCGGCCTTGCGAAGATTAATATTTTTATCAAGACAATGATCCGAAAGGCTTATAAAGTGCGATCATGGCTGCTATGTATTGTCCCCATGTCATGGATACACCAGCCCAGAGTCTAGACATAAACCCCATAGAGAATTTATGGAGCTATCTTGCAAAGAAGAATTGAAGAAAACTTTTTTGGAAGAATGGCAAAAAATTTAATCTAGCTTTTGTGAAAAACTTGTTAAGTTAAAATAAAGAAATGCATACAAAATATTAATGTCTGGAAATACTTTAAATTATACGAAGTGTACGAGTTTGGCTTTGGCATTGAAATATAATCTCTTTTAATATTTATTTTTTTACTTTAAATGAATTAAAATGTTAAGTTATTTTGCTTTTTAAATGACTTACACATGCTCTGTTCCAGAGACTGCAAAAATCTACTATTTGGCCATTTTTTTTTTTATTTTATAAAGGGAAAATCGGTTATCGAAGTAAAGTTTTGCATTACTGCAGTTCTGAAAGAGACCAATAGTGTACTAATAAAATGTAAAAAATCACTTTTTTGTAAATTTTGATTTTTAGAAGTTATAAGAAAAATAAAAATTGTTCTTTAGCAATATGAGTTTTGCTTGGAGCTACTGTAATGCCATTACTCTTGTTGAAATGATGCCGGATGTTCGCAGACTCCAAGTAATCATGTTTTGTTTTTTTTTTTATTAAAATCAACATTTTCATCAATATAATTTTTCTAATCCTTGATTACTTTCCTTTTGATAGCAACATTTGAGAAAAACAACACTTTTTAAAAATGTTGACATATCAATATGTCATGTTGTAGCACGTGAAAAACCGCCTCTGATATTTGTTTTTAATAGCTCAAATACAAATTAAACTATTCTTCCATCTCTAACTAGGCAGAAGTAACGAAGAAACCGAAAAAAAACAAATTAAATTCGTAACGTAACGGTTGTAAAGAAATGCCACTTTGTAGAGTTGGTTTGCATTTACCCCATTAACAATATGGCAACGCTTTGTTTTCGTAAACAGCTGTGTCATTTGTTTCGAACATTCATGACGTGTACTTTGACAGCTGGCATAAATTCCAAGTTTATTTTTTTGTTCAATAAAAATGTTTTCATTCCAATAAAAATAAATCAAATATTAATAGATTTTGTCAATAATTCTAAATAAAAATTGTAAAATTACAAGGAACCGAAAGGCTGCAGTATGCTGACATTAAGAGAAAGACAAATAAGTATGTCAAAAACAAGAAGAATATGACAATGAATCAATGGATTGCGTACCGATGATATGGGTTGTGCTTGTCGTGTCATAAATAAATGGAATTGTTTTAAAAATGCAATTTAATTCCCAGCTTGATACAATGATGATGTTGCACTTTCATTCCATGAGAATCTTGGGGTATATGTGGGTATTGAGTTGATTAGAATCTCTTGATTTAAGTAGACGTCCCACCCGGGTCTATGATTTATGTTGTGAAGAGGTGGAAGGGGGAATTTTATTATGTTAAAATATGAAGTGATTCCCTGCGTTTCGGTTTTCATTTATATCATCACATCTCTGGATTGGGTTTGGAATGTCTTCCCAGTCTACGCATTACAATAACAATTTATCGCCTAACGACCCTATTTCTGACAAATTAATAAACTTCAGCTGTGATTGCTGGTGGGAAATGCAATCCGAATAGCCAGAAAACTAAACATATTCTTTATAAATTCAAAACCACTAAGACAATTATTTCTGTTTTATTTTCCAGATGCTATTAAGCAAATGCTTAATTTAAATGCCCAACAGCCAAAAGTACTGGCGGCTGAACCGGTATGGAAAATCTTGATCTATGATCGCGTAGGTCAGGATATAATATCACCCATAATTTCAATAAAGGAACTAAGAGAGTTGGGGGTGACGCTGCATGTGTAAGTGTATCGATAAGTAAAAAATAACATAAAATAAAAGAATAATATTTCTCCTTAAATTATAGGCAGCTACATTCTGATCGTGATTCCATACCCGATGTTCCGGCAATATATTTTTGCATGCCCACAGAGGAGAACTTGGATCGCATACAACAAGATTTTCAAAATGGCCTTTATGATATATATCATTTGAATTTTCTGGCACCGATTTCAAGACAAAAAATCGAAGACTTGGCTGCCAGTGCCCTGCAAGCCGGCTGTGTGGCCAACATACACCGAGTTTATGATCAATATGTGAATTTTATCAGTTTAGAAGATGATTTCTTTATACTGAAACATCAAAAATCTGATCAGCTGTCATACTATTCAATTAATCGTGCCAATACACGGGACGATGAAATGGAAACGCTAATGGATTCAATTGTTGACTCATTGTTTGCCGTCTTTGTAACGTTGGGCAATGTTCCAATTATACGCTGTCCCCGCAATACTGCCGCTGAAATGGTTGCTCGAAAATTGGAAAAGAAGCTGCGAGAAAATCTCTGGGATGCACGTTCAAATCTATTCCATATGGATGCCACACAAGCCGGTGGTGGTGTATTTAGCTTTCAACGACCCGTATTATTGTTACTTGATCGTAACATGGATCTGGCTACGCCACTGCATCACACATGGTCGTACCAGGCTTTGGTACATGATGTTTTAGATTTGGGTTTGAATTTGGTCTATGTGGAGGATGATCAACCAGCTGGAGGTGAGTGGTTAATTATTAGATATAAAACCATAACTATCCTGTAATTTTAGGAAATGAATGTTTGGATGCAAACCTTCGTCTGTTCCCAACCTCCGTTCTCATTGATTTATATGACATTTTATATATAAAGCGGGATTTAATATGGAATACCAAAAAGGTCCATATAGAGAAGAATCCACAAAGATAATACAAAGCTTTGATATAGAAAACCAAGAAGACTTAATGGAATTGATAATGTGTTTGTAGAAGACCAGAAAGAAATTCTTACAGAAACCAAAAAAAAAAAATATATGTATATATATATATATATATATATATATTGTTAGGAAGTTCTTTAATTGTTTGGCAAAAGTCCCAAAAAGGACTTAATATCAAAGATGATGACAATCCTTATACAGAAGACCAATAAAGCAAACAAACAAAAAAGACTTTCGTAAGGAAGGCTTCATTGTCGTCCAAGGCTTAAATGTCGTCCATAGAATATCAATGATCAAATAGTTATTTGCATAAAAAAGAAGGCGGTCCTCACAAACAAGACCATATCATATCGGGGTTTTTAAGAACATTAAATAAACGTCCAATTGTCCAAGATTGAGAGCAGCTTCTTGGAGAAAAAAGCTTTTAGAAAGGTACTTCTAATAAAAGGACAAAAATGACTTATTATAGGAAACCAAGAAGGGGTCTAAATAGAAGTCCATGAAAGTCTTCAACCAAGGGATTAAATGTCTTCAAATAAAACCCCAAAAAGTAATTTAGTAGTAGACCAAAATGGTATTATAATATCATAGGAAAAACTGATAGGGAATTCATGCAGATCGAATACTAATATAACTCCTTTTCATTTCCTAGGCACCCGCAAAAAACCCAAACCATGTGATTTAGATCGTAATGATCGTTTCTGGGCTAATCACAAGGGCAGCCCATTTCCAACCGTTGCCGAGGCTATTCAAGAAGAACTAGAATCGTATCGCAGTTCTGAGGAGGAAATCAAACGTCTGAAAACCTCAATGGGTATTGATGGTGAAGCTGAGGTGGCATTCTCAATGGTCAATGATGCTACGGCACGTCTCACGAATGCTGTCAATTCATTGCCACAATTAATGGAGAAGAAACGTCTCATCGATATGCACACGAAAATTGCCACGGCAATTTTGAATTGCATTAAATCTCGACGTTTGGATTCTTTCTTTGAACTCGAAGAGAAAATAATGTCAAAGCAAACTTTAGATAAACCACTGATGGATCTATTAAAAGATCCAGAATTTGGTACACCTGAGGATAAATTGCGTTTGTTCATTATCTACTATATATGTTCGCAAAATGTTCCTGATTTCGAGATAGAACGCTTGAAGGAGGTACTGCAGGAGAACGGTTGTGATTTGTCATCGTTGTCGTATATCCAACGTTGGAAGGCAATTATGAATCGCACACCGAGTCTGAATCAGGCTGCACAATATGAGGGTGGTGGCACCAAAACGGTATCCATGTTCTCCAAATTGGTTTCACAGGGCTCATCGTTTGTAATGGAGGGCGTAAAGAATTTGGTAGTTAAGAAACATGTAAGTAACAACAAAATAATGTAGGAAAAAGAAAAAATATTAATTAATTTAATTTTTAAATAGAATCTTCCTGTAACGAAAATCACTGAACAAGTAATGGAATGCCGTAGCAATCCCGAAACCGATGACTATCTCTATTTGGATCCCAAGTTATTAAAGGGTGGTGATATTATGCCCAAAAATCGTGCCCCCTTCCAGGATGCTGTGGTGTTTGTTGTCGGCGGCGGCAATTACATTGAGTACCAGAATTTAGTGGATTTTATACGACAAAAACAAACAGCCAATGTTAGTAAACGTATTGTCTATGGTTCATCGACATTGACAAATGCCCAGCAATTCTTAAAAGAACTCTCGGCCTTGGGTCGGGAAATTCAAGGTCCAGTTTTAAGTTAGGATCTTGTCGGAGTTTTGGATATTTTCCGTTTCAAATGCTGTTGAACAGTGTGTGTGTGTGGGGCACGAGCCAATGATAATAGGCAATATTTTTACGAAATAAAATAAAGTAAAAAAACGAATCGATAATGAAACCTTCTTGCTTTTAATTTAGACATAAAAAGACTAATGCGCCTTTGGTTTAGATTTCTGTTCATTAACTATATTTAATTGAAGAAAAAACTGGTATATTATAATTATATTTTATAATTAAAAAATGATAAATAAAAGAAAAATCCTATTACTTTATGTTATAACAAAAATACAATCAGTGGGATTAAAATTGTGTGTTAGCTTGTATTCGAAATTGGTTTAAAGGACTCTTTCTTCACAATGATCATACAATTTGTGGAATATGAAACTCTTTATTTTATTTTAACTTCTCCCCAACCATCTGTAGAATTTTTATTAAACCTTCCTCCGTCCTAATACATTCTTTGTACGCACCTTAATTACACCTCTGGTATGGAATGTAAAACATCAAATTGTTTTTCTTTCATCCCATCCCCATCTTGTTGACAATGCTGTGACACCATGTTTAACAACAACTCCAAATAGTCTTAGAATGTCGCTGAAGTAATGCCAGATCTTGGAATTAAACATCAGTGATCATTGTTTAGGTTTGAAAAATGAACTGCTATTTTAAAATTCCATTTTTTTAATATTGGATATTTTCTACTTTTGCTGTTGCATTTCAAACCAAAAGGGAATTTCAATAATGTTTGGCGTTCTTTTATACCCTCCACCATAGTATGGAGGGTATATTAAGTTCGTCATTGCGTTTGTAACACCTGGAAATATACATTTTAGATCCCACAAAGTATATATATTCTTGATCAGCATAAATTTCTATGTCGATCCCTCTGTCCATCTGTCTGTCCGGAAATCACTCTAGCTTCCGAACGAAATGAAGTAGGTTGATAAAATTTTACTCAAATGTGTATTATGTCTGCAGGACTTTTGGTATTGAAAATGGGTGATGTAGGTCCACGTTTTGGTATAGCCCCCATATAATGGTACCTCTCTTTTTTCGGTATTTTGATGATTTAAGCGACATTATTCACCGGAAATGTTTTAAATTCAGTATTTGAAGTCCGTAATGGGTACTACAGCCTATGACAGAAAATTGTCTGCGCAGATCCACGTCTTCGTATAGCCCCAATATAACGGCACCTCCCGATATTCGGTATTTTGATGATTTTAGCGACATTATTCACCGGAAATGTTTCACATTTAGTATTTGAAGTTCGTAATGGGTACTACAGCCTATGACAGAAAATTGTCTGTGCGGGTCCACGTCTTTGTATAGCCCCCATATAACACGCTACCTCCCTATATTCGGAATTTTGATGATTTTAGCTACATTATTCACCGGATTTTTTTATTCAAGTTTCGCATTTGAATATTGTAATAGCTTATGACAAAGGTCGCCTATGCAAGTCCACGTCGTCCTAAAGACCATAATAAGAGAATTTTTAACGGATTTTATTTTTTTGAAAATTGTCAAATTCGTTCCAAATTGTGGAGGGTATTCAATGGTCGACACGGCCGAACTTACAGCTTTTTTACATGTCTTTTCTTTGCATGGAGAAGCTTCTAGCCAGTGATGGTTTGTCGTAAACTATGAAAATGGAAAAATGGATTGATTATCATACAAACAGAATTGTCAGACTGTTTTTGTTGGAGAATTTGTGTTTGTACCGAAGGGGCTAAGGTTATCACCTTCACCTTATCTTCTCAATATCCTTCTGAGTTAGTGCTCATTAGGTTCGTATATAACCTCGATCAAATGGTGGAAGTGAAGGAGCCCTTTCGCAAAAATGCCTTAAAAATACATTGTAATTCTTATTGCATTTGTTTTGACAGCATTTTTGACATTGCAATCCTCACTGGTACAACTTTGTCAAACTTATCCTACTTTGGTTTCATTGCATCATGACTTCAAGTACCACCTTGCAAAGTTTCCTTGGCAAAAGCTTATAATTTCGTAACCTATTCCGACCATTTACATATACATCAATGTATGTATGTAATATATACCATGTATATTACCTTTACGACATTTCCAACACACATTGGCACTGGCTTAGTGGTGTACAATAATAAAAAAAAAAAAATAAACACCTTTAAATCAAGATTTATTTTTGTATTCACACCTACCGACTGTTAGTTATTGCTTCTTTATAGGCGTCCATGTCCTCCTCCTGTAAATAGCAAACAATCAGCTGCATAATTGTCAATCAATGTGTCGACTTGATAAACTTGAACTTATAACGCCGATGAGGAGATTTACCAAGTGTGGTACTGGCACAACACATGACACCTAAAAGCAGGCTCGTTCCACAAGAAGCTCGGGTAGACAAGGCGTACGGTGGTGGTGGTGATGGTTCAGATATTTAGACTAATTTTTTGTTGTTGTAATAGGTTTTTATGCTGTTTACATGAACAGAAGAAAAAAACAAAAACTATGTGACTGACATGCAAGTGTGGATGTGCGTGACGTGACTAACTCAAGTTGCATTATGGGTACATTGCAACACGTAACATGGCAGCCATGACTGTGTTCTTGTATTGCTCTTGGAATTACGAGCTATTTTCCAAGTAAATCGTTTACTTCGTCATTGCGACTGAACGGAGCAGGACGGAGCAAAAAAGCAAAACCAATGAAAAAGAATGTACCAAACTTCTACTGGGGTCTTGAATTCGATGTCGCAATTATGCCCTATTTTAGCACCTTGTCAATCATTCATTCATTCATTGGTGTCCAGTCGTGGACAAACATTTAGATCGATGGATAGCTTGATGGACGAACAAACGGGCCATGATGTAAGTACATGTGTACAACAACAAATTGTTTTGGAAACGTTTTTCATGTACTGCTCCTTTTGTTTTTTCCCCAACTCCTCCCTCTCCCCCTGATCGTTTTGCTTTGGCATAATGAATTGTTGGATTTGATATACGTCACAAATGTGACTGACGGACTGGCTGACTGACTGAAAGCTCGTATAAATACCAGGTGTGTAAATGTCGAAGCATTTTAATGCGTGATCATCGGTAACGTGTGGTCAGAAAGCTCTGCCCCATAGGAATGGCCAATGCTCGGGAATATTTTTTTGAAAAAAAAAAAAATATTTATAAATAAATACCTGACTAGCTGAAACAACGAATATTCCAGTTGATTCCAGTTTCAAATGCAATATCCAATTCAAAGCCTATATTAGGTCGGCCATATACAGGTGTCTCCCAATTTTAGGTATTTTGGAGATTTAAGCGACATTATTCACCGGAATTGTTTCAAATTTGGTGCTTGAAGTTCGTAATGGATACTAAAGCCAAAGGCAGAAAATTGCCTGTGCAGGTCAACGTCTATAGCCCCCATATAACGGCACCTCCCGATATTCGGCATTTTGATGATTTTCGCCAAATTTTTTCACGGATTTGTCTAAAAATACCTCCCGATATTCGGTATTTTCAAGATTTTAGCGACATTATTCACCGGAATTGCTTCAAATTCGGCGTTTTAAATTCGTAATGAATACTACAGCCTAAGACAGAAAATTTTCTGTGCAGGTCCACGTCTTTGCATAGGCCCTATAAACCGGTATATCGTGACATTCGGCATTTTGATGATTTTTGCCTCATTTTTTCACGCATTTGTCCAGAAATTGGCATTTGTGGGTCATAATGTGTTCTAGCTCCTGTGGTGAAACATAGGATGTATAGATCCACGTTTTCGGTTAGCCCCACATAATGGTACCTACGGATATTCTGTATTTTAGTGACTTTTGTGTATTTTAGTGACCATTTTTCCAAAAATGTGTATCAATTGTGGCAAATTGTTACTGAAAGTCGTCTGTTAACACAAAAGATCTACAAAAGAGAGCGATTTGAGAGAACAATTTTAACAGTTCATTCTCTTAAAGAGTTTGCAAAATCTTGTTGGACAGATTTCTACTAGCAATAGGTGTGTCTGGTTACTTTTCCTGCAGGAATTGTCCAGAAACATCTTTCTGAGAGAGTAAGGTAGTTTTATTCTCTTTTACAAGGAAATTACGAAAAGTAAATAGACGGTATTCCTGCAGAAGCATGCAACTAATCAGCTGATTTGTCAAAACAAACCAATTTGTCCCCCATAAGGAGAATTAAAACAAAGGAACCAATACTAATTTTACAAGTTTTTTAAATAAAAATGTTGGAAATAGTCTTTTATTTTCTTATTACATATTAACATTTACGTTTTTCACATTTTGTAAAGTGGTTCTCCAAAAACAATTAGTCTTGCTAATTCCAAAACAATATTTTCAAATTAAAATCACAAAAAGAAATAAATAAACAATAGAAAACATGATTGAATGTCGATGAATGAGAAGAAGAAGAGTTGCAAGAGATTGCAAGAAGAAATTTGTCCAGCAAGAATTTGCAAACTCTCACTGAAAGAACTGTCAAAATTTCTCTCTCCAACCGCTCTCTTTTGCAGAACTTTTGGGTTAACAGACGACTTCCAGCAACAATTTGTAACAATTGTTACAAATTTTAGGGTAACCAGACACACCTAATTTGTCCCCCATTAAAATAATTAAACGAAAGGAACCATCACCAATATCACAAGTTTTATAAATAAAAAGGAAATTGACAATAAAATAAAAATATGAGCAAAACAAGAAAGATGGATTTGATGTGTTCCGCGGAATCCTTTAAACCTGTTGCTAATGGCATTTGTCTAAAAATGTTGGAAATAGTCTTTTATTTTCTTATTACATATTAATATTTATGTTTTTTACATTTTGTTAAGTTGTTCTCCAAAAACAATTAGTCTTGTTAATTCCAAAATAATATTTTCAAATTAAAAGCACAAAAAGAAATAAATAAACAATAGAAAACATCTGATTGAATGTCGATGAATGAGAAGAAGAAGAGTTGCAAGTGATTAGGTGTGTCTGGTTACCCTAAAATTTGTAACAATTGTTACTGGAAGTCGTCTGTTAACCCAAAAGTTCTGCAAAAGAGAGCGGTTGGAGAGAGAAATTTTGACAGTTGTTTCAGTGAGAGTTTGCAAATTCTTGCGACATTCAATCAGATGTTTTCTAATGTTTGTTTATTTCTTTTTGTGATTTCAATTTGAAAATATCTTTTTGGAATTGGCAAGACTAATTGCTTTTGGAGAACAAATTTACAAAATGTGGAAAACGCAAATATTAATATGTAATAAGAAAATAAAAGACTATTTCCAACATTTTTATACAAACGCCATTAGGAACACGTTTAATGGATTCCAGGGAACACATCAAACCTATCTCTATTTTATTGCTTATATTTTTATTTTATTGCTAATTTCCTTTTTATTTATAAAACTTGTAAAATTGGTGATCTTCTTTTCTTTTAATTGGTTGGACATATTGGTTTGTTTTGACAAATCAGCTGATTAGTTGCAAACTTCTGCGGGAATACCGTCTGTTTACTTTTAGCATTTTCCTTGCAAAAGAGAATAAAACTACCTTACTCTCTGGACAATTCCTGCAGGAAAAGTAACCAGACACACCTATTGCAAGAAGAAATTTGTCCAGCAAGAATTTGCAAACTCTCACTAAAATAACTGTCAAAATTTCTCTCTCCAACCGCTCTCTTTTGCAGAACTTTCGGGTTAACAGACGACTTCCAGTAACAATTTGTAACAATTGTTACAAATTTTAGGGTAACCGGACACACCTAATCATTTGCAACTCTTCTTCTTCTCCTTCCGGTGATTTATATTTGGACAAGCAATTTAAAAACATTTTTATTTTGGAAATCGCAAGCGCAATTGTTTTGTTTTTTTCGTCGCATTTTTAATTTCTGCCTGAATTACCTCTGTTTATGACGCACAAATTGTTTTGTTTTAATAAACCAACTGATTGATTGCAAGTTTTTGCAGGGTCTGTTTACTTTTCACAAAAGAGAATAAAATGGCGTTGCTCTCTCAGAAAGAAGCTTTTTTTCCGGTTTATTCGTTACTTCTGCCTAGTTGTCAGAAAGAAGTTGGTGGACAATTTCTACAGCAAAAGTAACCAGACACACCTGTTATTAGTCTGTTCTAGAACCTGCAAGAATTTAAAAGGCTGTTTGTCCTTTTTTTGATTTAAACTCTAAACTATCTTAATATTTTCCCATTAGAAACAGCAACTCCATTTTAAGATCACATTTATTGAGAGCAATTTGTTTGCTTGCTTCTTATTCTATATGGTTGCTCACTTTTTAAAATGTAAAATGTTTTTAAGTTAAATATACGTCTGTTTTGAAAAACTATGCAAACTTCAAAACAATGTTTTGAATATTTTGTCCGCCAATGCAGTCGTTACTGCTCGTTTTACAAATGAAGCCATGAGTGATGTCACAGGCCTTGGCCGAACCGTCCTTGGTTAGGACACAGTTATTTGGATTATCGGCATGCAAAACATCAGCTTCTTCGACATCTTCCATTTTTATTTTAAAGAACTCCTCAGTCAATGACGGTATGATGTTTGTGAGGTCGACCGCAATGTCCGAGCGTAGCCAAAATTCTGGAATTGGATCTGCAAAGAGAAAGGGGGATTTAATTATTAAAACATTTTAAGAACTTATAGTATGTTTAGACAACTAAATCCACTTGATTTCAAATGTCAATTCCATAGCGTATACGTCGCGTAAATCGTAGATTTTTATATGTTTTCATGTACGACGCCAATCGGAAGTCGTTATGATATGCATTTTCAACAGTTTTAACGAATTTGAAAAAATTTTCCTTCAAAGTTTTCAATTTCAAAATTGGTTTGACAGTTCATTGTCCCAGCAGCTGTGTTGATGCGACTACCTGTATTCTTCTACCATGGTATACAGGGTGAGACGGAAAAACTTCAACCAACTTTAGGCTGGAAGTGGACGGAAGAAAACAGCAACAGCAGGTGAAATGGTTCGAAAAGTAAAGAAGCGACTTGATCGAAATATTCCATTCGGCAAATATTGAAAAATGAGCTCGGGTAAAGCCATTGAAATTCCAAAAAGTGCAAAAACTTACACCGCAACAGAAAGAATGTGGACTCAAAAGAGCTAAAGAGTCGCTTCGCTTGGCGGAAAGTGGTGAACTGCCGAATTTGGTTTTCTCCTATGACAAAACATTCGTTGTCCAGCAGTTCGTAAACATATAAAATGATCGTGTTTACTTGCCAAAGAGGTCAGCTGAAAATGTGCACCTTAGGTTTGCCATCAAAACTCAAGCGCCGGCCATGGTGATGGTGTGGGCTGCCATAACAACCGATGGTGGCTCTCCGCTCGTATTAATCGACCGTGGCATCAGAATAAATACCGAATATTATCGCTAAAATATTCTGGAGGGTATATTAAAGGCTTGTACCTTGGAAATTCCAACAGGACTGAGCAGCATCGCACTCGCGCCACCCAAGAATGGTTACAAAATGAGGTTCTTTGCTTCATTTCCAGCGCCCAATGGCCACCAAAATCTCCGGATACCAATCCATTAGTCTATTGTGTCTGGAGTATTTTGGAAAGCAAGGTTGGCCCCAAAAAATACGCAAGTGTCGATTACCTCAAGCAAGCGCTTCGCCGGGAATGGGCAAAATACAGCAGAGCAACATTTGGGCAGCGTTTGACGTTTCATTGGCCGTTCGAAAGCAATAATTCGTGCCAAAGGTGACCAATTCGAACAAATCTAAACTTATTCTAAAATTTGCTGCTATTTCCGACATGTTGTGCGTTCATTCAAAAAGTTTAAAAATTATGGCGTTTGACTTTGTTGCAGTTGATTTTTTATTTCGCCCTGTACGGTATTGAAATGACATTTCGGATCGAGTGGATTTCCTAAATCTAAACGTACTTTTAAGGTAAGAATACATAAACCGTTTTTTTGACTTGCTTAAGTCAAGGGCCAAAATCGAACTAAGTCAGCCTAAAACTCGTTTATTCCTCTACGAAGAAGCCAGCCGATGACTTAAAGGTGGGAATACATAAAGCGCTTATTTGACTGGCTTAAGTCATCGGCTGGCTTCTTCGGAAATTAATAAATGAGCCTAGGATCAAAATCGAACTAAGTCAACCTAAAACTCATTTGTTCCTCTACGAAGAAGACAGGCCAAATAAGCGCTTTATGTATTCCCACCTTAAGCCAGCCAGAAAAGCCTTTTATGTACTCTCACCTTAAAGCTACTGCTATCCCAGAATTTTATGTGAATAAAATTTCAAACTTACCAAAAGATTGCTTCAGATATTGATTCAAAATCTCATCGCCATTAAATTGTTTCAGAGTCAATAAATTGAGATTTCTTGATTTACATTCAGCATAGGATTGTTGCCAATTGAACTGCAATAAATATATAAAATAAATTCAACAAACTTGCCCTCCCGATAATTTACTTACCTTTTGTTCCGTCTCAATATAATAGGTAGCATTGTCGGTTTTAAACCATTTAGTAAGTGGGGCACTTTCGCAGAAATTCTGTAGGCCCACCAAGGCAGCCAGTACAATTATCCAAGTCACTCTCATGATGGTTTTGGCTCAACTGAACTTGAAACAGAACTGATTGTAAGTTTTCTTTTAATGCTCGAAAGAGGGTATTTTTTATCAAAATATGTATGTGGTTTTAAAATTAAAAACAATTGAAGTATAAGACATTTTGTTGACATGCAAAGGCTGATACTGAAAGGGTTTTTTTCTGAAAATTTAAGCTGAAGTTTATCAGAGAAAATAAAAACAAACGCAAACCCAATCGACATGCATGTGCATATAGGTTTTAATAAAATGTGATTATGGAATACATTTTTTTTCTAATCTAAAACATTTTTGTGAATATTTTACAAGGGAGGCTTTGTTGATAACACATAAGCTTTGTTCCTTCACGTACAAGAATCTACAATTTTAACCAAATGACATGGTCTTTTTAAGATGGGAATACATAAAGCGCTTATTTGGCTTCTTCGTAGATGAACAAAGGAGTTTTAGGTAGTTTGTAAACAAACAAAATAATCGGTTTACTTGCCAAAGAAGTCAGCTGAAAATGTGCGAGCGCCGGTCATGGTGATGGTGTGCGCCGCCATAACAGCCGATGGTCGCTCTCCGCTCGTATTAATCGACCATGGCATCAGAATAAAGGCCGAATATTATCGCGAAAATATTTTGGATGGTGTATTGAAGCTTTGGGCACGCAAACATTTTGGCCGCACACCTTGGACATTCCAACAGGACTCCGCACCATCGCACTTAGGACGCACCACCCAAGAATGGTTACAAATTTAGGTTCCTCGCTTCATTTCCAGCGCACATTGGCCACTAAAAACCAAAGTGTCGATCATCTCCAGCAAGCGCTTCGCCGGCAATGGGTCAAAATGCCGCAGAGCAACATTCGGGCAACGTGTGACGGTTTCATTGGCCGTTTGAAGGCAATAATTCGTGCCAAAGGTGACCAATTCGAACAAATCGGAAATTTGATGCTATTTCCGACATTTTTTGCTTTCATTCAAGGAAACAAAAAAAAAAAAAAATTAAAAATTATGGCGTTTGACTTTGTTGCAGTTTTTTTTTATCTCACCTTGTATTCTAACACTCAACAAATTTCTATGCAAAAGCTAAACTCGTACAGCTTTCATTTATACGGCAACCCTGTTTCGAACTGCGGCCAACTTCACGTGATTGTTGGAAAATGTATTTGGGGAAGTCCCTAAAAGTTAATTCATCTCAAACTTGATCGCGTTGTGTAAATTACTGACGTAAATATTAGAAAACAAAATAGAAAAAAAAATGGGAAGACAGCGAGGACAAACCACAGCAGAGGTGAGAAATTTAGTAATTAATCATTACAAAAACCATAAATCGCTAAGTGAGATTGTTAATAGAAGCCGATCTACAGTTCAGTTCAAAACAGACGGTTGTGTCGAAAATAGGTCAAAACGGCAAATAATAAAATATTTACCTTGAGTTATGAGAAGTATATTTTACGGCAGATCAAAAAGGATCCATTTTTGAGTGCACCGCAGCTGGAAAAAATTGCTGAAAAGGATTTGGGAAAAGTATGCTGCCCTCAAACAATAAGAAATATACTGCATACGTCGAATTACAATGGAAGAAGAAGAGCTAGTCATAAACCTCTAATCAGTAAGCGAAATCAAGAAGTAAAATTGAAATGTGCCAAGAAACACATATCAAAAGAGCAAACTCACCTTTTTGGTTTAGATGACAGACCTTATGGATGCAGAAAGGCAAATGAAGCGCTCCTTGTAAAAAATATGAAGCCTACAGAGAAGCACGGGTTGGATCAGGGTTGGTGTATTGCATTTTATTGAGGATATTATGGATCAAAAAGTTTGCCACTCTGTAAGGAAAAGCTCGGGCTTGGCGAAGATTAATATTTTTATCAAGACAATGATCCGAAACACAAGGCTTATAAAGTGCGGTCATGGCTGCTATATAATTGTCCCCATGTCATGGATACACCAGTTCAGAGTCCAGACATAAACCTCGCACAGAAATTATGGAGCTATCTCGGTGGAAAAATCCGCCAGCATACCATACATTGCAAAGAAGATTTGAAGAAAGCTTTGTTGGAAGAATGGCAAAAAATTTACCCTAGCCTTACAAGTTTCGTTTGGATCTATTGTAAGACAATTTTTTTTTAATAAAAATCTATGCAGATTCGATAAAATCGTTGAAAAATTCTTATCATAACAACCGATTGGCGTCGTATAAGAACACATAAAAAATGTACAAATGCTTTTGACATGGTCCCATGGTAGAAGAATACAGGTAGATGCATCAACGCTTGGGATCATTGATGTGTCAATTTTTTTTAATGTTTCTTCAAAAATAAGTGTATTACATGTTTTCCTATACGATGCGAATCGGAGGTTGTTGTGGTTTGCATTTTTTTTTAAATTTTTATAAATTTGATTAATTTCTCATTCAAAAATTCCAATTTCAAAATTGGTTTGACAGTTCATTGTCCCAGCAGCTGTGTCGATGTCTGTATTCTTTTACCTTGAATTGTCCCAAGCGTTGATACATCTACCTACATTATTCTACCATGTTAGCTGTTAAAGCTCCAAGTACGTTTACATTTACGAAATCCACTTGATCTCAAATGTCAATTTCATAACGTATACGTCAAATAATACCCGCTAAATTTATGAATACGATTTACTCGACATATATGCTATGGAATTGACTTTTGTAACTGGCATCTTCACTTTAGCTTAAAATAATAAACAAAACGAAAAACGATTTATTTGCCCGAAAATATTTTTATATTTATCGGAAAGATATAATAACCGGCCTTATTATTATTATTCTTTAAAAATTTTAAATAACATTTATCAAAATCCAACCAGGGAGAAATCCACAAAAAGTGGTAAGTGATCAGAGCTACCGATAAAGTTTCATATAAATACGGGTGTATTCCTCACGACCACACTTCATTTAGCAAGAAACCATAATGAAAAGAATAATTCTTGTACTTGTCGTGACGCTTTTGTCCATGGCCACAGGTATAGCTGTTGAAAAATGGCATAAGAGTGAAGATGGCAGTCTCTTTTATATCGATACGGAAGCTAAGGTCAGTAAAATCTTCGAACTATCACATGATACTTAATTGAATTAATTATTTTCATAACAGTACAATTGGCATGGTGCTTGGAATGAATGTGCACGGAAAAATATGTCACTGATTGCAATTGATAGCCGGTATAAACACTTGCAGATCGATACATTGATTAAAAAATTATTCGGTAATGGTTTTCTTCGAAGTTTTCCAAAACAAATGCAAATTAATGTTGAAATTTTCTCCCTCAAGCTGCATGTCCCTCATTTTGGATTGCCGGCCATGACAATGCCATTGATTTGCGTTATGAATGGGCCACCAGTGGTGAGATTTTCTCGTTCACCAATTGGGGTCCCGGCCAGCCGGATCGTCTGAACAACAATGAACATTGTATTTTGATTTGGCAAAATACTTGGCAGTGGTACGATTTACCCTGTGGTCATAAATTGGGTTTCATTTGTGAAGAGAATCGTTATATCAAAGAAAAGGCCAAGGAACTGGAAATTCTTAAAAAAGAGTGCCAGAAAGATGATGATGTGGGCAAATCTAAGAATATTGCTTTATTTATTAATTCGAAGCCAACTTTTGAATATTTAAAGAGTTCAAATTGAAAAAATAAAGATTATTAGTTTTTTGAAATTGTTCAACTACGTGTGGTTTTTGTTATTGAATAAATCGTTTCATTTGCTATTTTGGCTCTAAAGGTGAGAGTACATAAAAGGTTTTTTTGCCTGTCCTAAAGGTGTGAATACATAAAACTTTTTTCTGTTTGACTGGCTTAAGTCATCGTCTGGCTGGCTTCTTTGGAAAAGAACAAAGGAGAGTAAGGCCAAAATCGATCTAAGTCAACCTAAGACTACTTTGTTCCTCTGCGAAGAAGCTAGCCGAAGACTTAAGGGTGAGAATACATAAAACGCTTTTTGGCTGGCTTAAGTAATCGGCTTGCTTTTTGGGAAAAGAACAAAGGAAGATAAGGCCAGAATCAAACTAAGTCAACCTAAAAATCATTTCCAATATGGTATTTTGTATTATAGTACATTCTTCCTTCATAGAGGGTATAAAACCAAAATAATCCAATATAGGCCACACATTTACGAACTTACAGTACGTTTATATATAAATGAGTTAGTTGGATTACAATTGTCATAGACATTACTTGTACTTCAAATAAATCCTCTTTAAGTGGGTTAACCCTGCAAAAAGTTCTAACGTAAACATGGCATTATTTCCCATGCATAAAACAAACTAGTTTTTATTTATTTTTGCTACTAATTTTTTTATATGTTTTTATTTTACTGTATTTTGCAGTTATCATGTATGGTAATACACTTCCTCTTTAATTACAATTTCCATTATAGTTCTTCCATATGAATGTTTTCGCCAATGCCCTGAGATCATCCTGGTCTTGCTCTCTCGATTTGGCTTTCAGCAGACGATTTTCTTCGCATATGAAACCCAGTTTAGAGGAGGTACACGGCAAATCATGCCAATCCCAGGTGGTCCAAATTAAAATGCAATGTTCATTATTGTTCGAACGACCCGGTTGGCCTTGACCCCAATTTGTAAAGGTGAATATTTCACCAGTTGTGGCCCATTGATAGCGTGTATCAACGGCCATATCGTGACCAGCTATCCAAAATGGAGGGCTTGTGGCTGAAAATTAACAAAATTGTAAATATATATTATATTATATTATATATATACAATCTTATGTTTACAATTATTTTTCCAAATTATGTATCTAATTGTCAAAAAATGATTTGCACTATGTTCCTTTTGTAGCATTGACAACACTGTTATTTTTCAATTGTCCCTTCCTTCAGTTGTCAGTGCGTGCAACAACGGTCGGTGGTGAATTTTACTCGTTAAACGACGAAGATGTTAACATATTGACAATGAATTAGTTTAAATGTAAGAAAAAATCGTGAATTCTAATAACTTATACCCTTGTTAACAAAATATTTGCTTAAATTAATCATTTTAAAGTAAATTAAAAATGTGTGCAATTGCAATGTTGTGTCGTCCCTTTGCTTACTACAATTACGTGCGTGTGTTTGTGTTATGTGAGAAAGGTTATTTCGCTAATTCTATTTCCTGCGTTCACTTAATTTGTAAATACGATGCGTTGTGAACTGTTTTCGTAGAAGAACAGTAGTGTTAAATTTTATTATTAATATTAAAATTTAGTTAAATAATTCAAATATTTTAGAAGATTGTCTAATTGTTAAAATATTACTTGTATTGCTATCACTTGATTTTGCAAAAAACAACTTTGTGGGCTTTGATTTGCACTACGTCTCTTTTTTAGCATTGACAACACTGTTATCTCTCAATTGCCTCTTCCTTCAGTTGTCGGTGCACGCAACAACGGTCGGTCGGCAATTTTACTCGTTAAACGAAGGCGTTATAATTTTAAAGAAAACAAATTAGTTTAAAAACTAGTGAATTTTTATAACTTATTACCTTGCTAACAAAATAACGGTTAAATAAATACATTTTCTTTGGGTAACATTAAAAATGTATGTCTTTACAATGCAATTGCAATATTGTGTTGTCCCTCTGGTTACTACAATTAAGTGCGTGTGTTTGTGTTATGCGAGAAAGATGATGTTGCGAATTTTATTCTTTGCCTTCACTTAATATGTGAATATAAACAAACAAATAATTCAAATATTTAACAGCAATGTGCAATTGTAAAAATATTTGTATTGCTATCACCTGTTATTACGAAAAACACTTTTATGGGCTTCTATTCGCACATTATTTGCACTATATTCCTTTTGTAGTATTGACAACACTGTTGTCTCTCAATTGCCTATTCCTTCAGTTGTCAGTGCACGCAACAACGGTCGGTCGTGAATTTTACTCGTTAAACGAAAGTGTTAATATTTTAACAAAAAATTAGTTAAATTGTACGGAAAAGTAGTAAATTCAAATAATTTATTCCCTTGTTAACAAAATAGTGCTTAAATAAATCCGATTTCTTTAGATTACGCTACAAAATAGGTGTGTTTTTTCTATGCAATTGCAATGTTGTGTTGTCCCTGTTGTTACTACAATTAAGTGCGTGTGTGTGTCTTATGTGAGAAAGATGACTATGCTAGTTTTTTGGAAGTCTAATTAGCGATACCTTGTTCGGTTGATTGTTTGAAAGAATAGACTACAAATATTGGCGAAATTATAGAAGAGTGTTTTAATATATAATATATTTTGGAGGATCTATTTGTCAATCAATATTTTCTAAAATTGATTAATGTTTGACCAACACGTGAGAGAGAGTGAAAAAGAGCCGCACAAAAATTGAGAATAAAAGAGTCATCAAGAGCAAGAATGGGCAAAATAATGAATGATAACAGCAATATTAAATTGTAAAAATATTTGTGATGCTATCACCTGTTATTACGAAAAAACACCTTTATGGGCTTTTATTCGCACATTACTTGCACTATGTTCCTTTTGTAGCATTGACAACACTGTTGTCTCTCAATTGCTTCTTCCTTCAGTTGTCAGTGCACGCAACAACGGTCGGTCGTGAATTTTAATCGTAAAACGAGTGTTAATATATTAACTAAAAATTAGTTAAATTGTACATAAAAGTAGTGAATTCAAATAAATTATTCGCTTGTTAACAAAATAGTGCTTAAATAAATCCGATTTCTTTGGATTACGCTAATAAATTTGTATTTTTCTATGTAATTGCAATGTTGTGTTGTCCCTTTGGCTACTACAATTAAGTGCGTGTGTTTGTGTTATGTGAGAAAGATGACGATGCGAATTTTTTTTGAGGCCTAATTAGCGATATCTTTTTCGGTTGGTTTTTTGAAAGAATAGACTACAAATATTGGCGAAATTATGGTCGAGTGTTTTAATTCATTTGGATCTATTTGTCAATCAATTATTTCTAAAATCAATTAATTTTTGACCAACACGTGAGAATGAGAGAGGGAGAGAGTGAAAAAAAAAGCGCAAACAAACAACAATTAATGCTCGTAACGGAGGCTGAGGGCATGGTGTGTCAAATTACTAATTAGAAAATCGCAAGTTTAATCCAATCAACAGGCAAACTTAATAAGAAAACTAAACATGAAGTGTACTGGAATTTGAGACAAATTCAATTCAAGTTTTCCAATCATTTAAAGACAGTTTATTTTTAACTTCATTATTTGGATTTGGCTGGCAGGCTGGTAAGTATTTACTCTATATGTCCATTTTAAAATAAGGGGTTACGATGTACAAAACGAATAACGTCTCGTTGTTTCAAATAATATAAATTACGTTAAAGGAAATGAATTTGAATATTGAACTAATACATCCCTAAACCCACATTCATTACATTTTAAGCTCAAATGACGTCACGCCCATTCATATCCTTTCCCGCCCACACATTTAAATTTTTATACCCTCCACCATAGTATGGAGGGTATATAAGTTTGTCATTCTGTTTGTAACACCTCGAAATATACATTTAAGACCTCAAAATGTATATATATTCTTGATCAGCATAAAATTCTATGTCGATTTGTCCGTCTTATGTCACTCTTGCTTCCGAACAAAATTAAGTAGATTTATAAAATTTTACTCAAATGTATATTATGTCTGCAGGACTTTTGGTATTGAGAATGGGCCATGTAGGTCCACGTTTTGGTATAGCCACAATATAACGGTACCTCCCGATATTCGGTATTTTTATGATTGTTTGTTTCAAATTTGGTATTTGAAGTTCGTAATGGATACTACAGCCTATGGCAGAAAATTGTCTGTGCAGGTTTACGTTTTCGTGTAGCCGCCTTATAACGGTACCTCCCGGTATTCAGTATTTTGATGACATTAGCTACATTATTACCGATTTTTGTAAAGTCCCATTTGAATACTGTAATGGCTTATGACAAAAGTTACCTATGCAGGTCCATGTCGTCGTATAGACTCTAATATAACAGGTAAATTCAGTATTTTTAAAATTTTAACATAATTTTTAACGGATTTTAATGTTTTTGAGAATTGCCAAATTCGTTCCAAATGGTGGAGGGTATTCAAAGTTCGGCCCGGCCGAACGTACAGCTTTTTTAGTTGTTAATATTTATAAAGCATATATCATACTTACGAAATAAACTTCGGATAAGTGTATCAATCTGAAAATGGCGGTCATAGCGATCGATGGCAATCAATGACATATTCTTGCGAGCACATTCATGCAAGGCTTCAAACCAGTTGAACTGAAATTGTTTTGATGTTATTGATGTAAATAATAAGATTTGTTTCTACTTTTTAAGATTTATATGTATCTGTATCTATGAATGTATGTATATACGGATATCTTACCTTTTGTTCATTTTCGACATAATATAAACTTCCATCATCGCTTTTATGCCATTTCTTTATCACGGCACCCGTCACCAATGGCGTTAGCAAAACCAGAATTGCGATGCACTTCATTTTGAGAACTGATACTTGGAATTTTAATGCAACATTAATTTATATTAAAACATACGGTGGATTTCGAAAAATCCATCATTTTATGATAAAGAAATGTGAAGTACCCTCTGCAGAAGAGGAAATCCTTGCGATAAGAAATGCAAATTCTAATTGTTTTAAAATTTTGTAAAAAATATGTTTTTTTCGTTCTTTCGAATTTTTATTATCCACAACAAAAATAGCCCCCCCAAAAAGGGGAATAACATAGACATCCAGTTGTGTTTTGCAGTTAAACCACAAGAATGATAAGCTGCTTTGGCGTTTAAAAATTGCTATCAAAGAACTATCAAAAGCGACAGGGGTGCCCAATTGAAGGCACATTTCCAGATTTCTTTTAAAAAACCTTCTAAAAAAATTTTATACTACAATGCACATTTTACATATTTGTTCCCTGAAAAATTCTGGTTGTTTTGGTACTTCAAAAAGATTTGCATATATTTGTTTCGCTCTTGAGATCTATAACCGAATTTCATTTATGGAAGTTTGGAAATCCCGACACATATTGCGCCAAAAAGAAAATTGTCTGAGTATTAAAAAGAATTGTGACTATCAGACAGAAAAGCAGGGCTTTCAGAAACTATGTTTTCAAAGACTGACCTAGAAAGAGATTTTTTTTAAGAATAGTTTCTTAAGGACCACCAAGGACAATAAACGTATATATTTTAAGAATATTTTTTCAACGACCATCAAGGCGATAAACGTGTTTTTTTAATAATAGATTCTAAAGGACCACCAGGACAATAAACGTGGATTTTTTAAGAATACTTTCTCAAGGACCATCAGGACAATAAACGTGGATTTTTTAAAAATAGATTCTCTCCTGATGGTCCAGGACGATAAACGTGGATATTTTAAGAATATTTTTCAAGGACACATAAATGTGGATTTTTTTAAGAATATTTTCTCAAGGAACATCAGAAGGATAAGCGAAGATTTTTAAAGAATAGTTCCTCAAGGACAATTAGGACAATGAAGGTGGATATTCGAGGATTTTTTTCAAAGACCAATAAATATGGATTGTTAAGAATACTTTCTCAAGGACTATCAGGACGATAAACTAAGATTTTTAAAGAATAGTTTCTCAAAGACATTCACGACAATAAAGGTGGATTTTTAAGAATATTTTTCAAGGACTCTCAGGACAATAAACGTAGATTTTTAAGAGTATCTGTTTCAAGTACTCTCAGGCCAATAACCTTGGATTTATAAGATTATTTCTTAAAGGACTCTCAGGCCAATAAGTCTGAATTTATAAGAATATTTTTTCAAGCACTCTCAGGCCAATTAACGCAGATTTTTAAGAAAATATTTTTTCAAGGACTCTCAGGCCAATGAACTTGGATTTTTAAGAATATTTTTTCAAGGACTCTCAGGCCAATTAACGCAGATTTTTAAGAAAATATTTTTTCAAGGACTCTCAGGCCAATGAACGTGGATTTTTAAGAATATTTTTTCAAGGACTCTCAGGCCAATAAACGTGGATTTTTAAAAATATTTTTTCAACGACTCTCAGGCCAATAAACGTGGGTTTTTAAAAATATTTTTTCAAGGACTCTCAGGCCAATAAACGTGGATTTTTAAAATTATTTTTTCAAGGACTCTCAGGCCAATAAACGTGGATTTTTAAAAGTATTTTTTCAAGGACTCTCAGGCCAATAAACGTGGATTTTTAAAATTATTTTTTCAAGGACTCTCAGGCCAATAAACGTGGATTTTTAAAATTATTTTTTCAAGGACTCTCAGGCCAATAAACGTGGATTTTTAAAAATATTTTTCAAGGACTCTCAGTCCAATAAACGTGGATTTTTAAAAATATTTTTTCAAGGACTCTCAGGCCAATAAACGTGGATTTTTAAAAATATTTTTTCAAGGACTCCCAGGCCAATAAACGTGGATTTTTAAAAATATTTTTTCAAGGACTCTCAGGCCAATAAACGTGGATTTTTAAAAATATTTTTTCAAGGACTCTCAGGCCAATAAACGTGGATTTTTAAAAATATTTTTTCAAGGACTCTCAGGCCAATAAACGTGGATTTTTAAAAATATTTTTCAAGGACTCTCAGGCCAATAAACGTGGATTTTTAAAAATATTTTTCAAGGACTCTCAGGCCAATAAACGTGGATTTTTAAAAATATTTTTCAAGGACTCTCAGGCCAATAAACGTGGATTTTTAAAAATATTTTTCAAGGACTCTCAGGCCAATAAACGTGGATTTTTAAAAATATTTTTCAAGGACTCTCAGGCCAATAAACGTGGATTTTTAAAAATATTTTTCAAGGACTCTCAGGCCAATAAACGTGGATTTTTAAAAATATTTTTCAAGGACTCTCAGGCCAATAAACGTGGATTTTTAAAAATATTTTTCAAGGACTCTCAGGCCAATAAACGAAGTTTTGTAAGAGTATTTTTTCACTATCAGGCCAATAAGCTTGGATTTTTAAGAATATTTTTTCAAGGACTCTCTGGACAATAAGCCTGAATTTATAAGAATATTTTTTCAAGGACTCTCTGGACAATAAGCCTGAATTTATAAGAACATTTTTAATAGACTCTTTTAGCCAATAAATTTGGATTTTTTTTGGAATATTTTAAAAAGACTATCAAGGCAATAAACGTGGATTTTAAGAACATTTTCTCAACAATAAACGTGGATTTTAAGAGTATTTTTTCAAGGACTGCCAGGATAAAAATCTTGGATTTTTTAAGAATATTATCTGAACAATAAACGTGGATATTTAAGATTATTTTTTCAACGACTCCTCAACCAATAAATGATGATTTTAGGAATATTTTTTCAAGGACTCCCAGGAAAATAAACGTGGATTTTTAAATATATTTTTTCAAGGACTCTCAGGCCAATAAACGTGGATTTTTAAGAATAATTTTTCAAGGACTACCAGGTTAAAAAAGTATATTTTTAAGAATAATTTTTCAAGGACTACCAGGTTAAAAAAGTATATTTTTAATATTATTTTTTCAATCTGACAAGGAATCCTTTCATAAGAGTTACCTGGCAACAAATGTGATTTTGTTAGAACCTTTTTATATATTGTCCATAATTATGGATTTCCCAAGAATTTTAATTTACTGGTGTCTCAGATTAAATTATACAGTAATCCCCTTTCCAAAATCTGCCCATGTTTTTTTTTCTCTTCTCCCCTACTCACAAACAAATTCCATTCTTTTTTCAAGCATTTGGTGTCATTCTTCTTTCTTCCATTTTTTTTCAAAAACGTTCTTCCATGAATGGTATTTTATGTATTTTTTCAAATTTGATTTGAAAATTTCAGAAAACTTGGAAATATGATACCTGGCACCCATTAATTCCCAACCTAGGCCATCTCTGTAAATATACTTTAAACTACATATGAATAAATAGTACTTACAAAGTACACACGTATTTCAAAATAGTTTCGAGCAAGCATTCAACATGAGAACTTTGATTATCTTGGTGTTTCTCGCTGGCGTTTTTCATACAAAATTTCAAGTGCTGGCAGTGAGGGCAAAACTTTATCAAACGCCCAACAATGTTACATATTTTATTAATCAGGATTATACAGTTAAGTGTTGTTGTGTTTTATAATAGAATATATATTAAAAAATAATAAAAAAAAAAATAATAAAAAAAATGGCAAACCTGTTTGCAGTACACCTGGTTTGAGGCTCTCATAGAATGTAGCAGCCGAAATATGTCCCTGCTGACCCTGGAAGAGGATGTCGAGTTGCTGGATATTTATCAAATTGCGATCAAAAATAATTTGTAAGTTTTGTGTGAACATAAAGTGAATTTATTTGGAATTTTGCCACCCAAATTAGAATCTCCTAGAGCAATAGTCCTCCGCATTCTCTTTTTTCCAATTTATTGTAATTCGTTTTTTTGTTTTGTTTTGAATAGTGCCAAAAAGCCACCTCATCTCTGGACAGGAGGTGTCGGCTCAAATCGCAAATTTATTTGGTTTTCAACGGGCACCCCAGTTGCCACTCGCACCTGGGGCATTGGCAATCCAGATAATTCAGGAAATGTGGAAAATTGTGTTCAAATCTTCGAGAATACAAATAAACTGAATGACATCAAGTGCTTCGAGAAAATGGGATTTGTTTGTGAGAAAAAGCCAGGTAATGACGAGGAAAAACCTTTGGCGGATTTTGGAAAGTTCGGGGATTGGTGTTTAATTTTAATCAAGGAAAATAATGAATAAAAAGAAAAACCAAAAAAGTTTTGATTTTTAATTTTAGAACAAAAAAAAATATATTAACAAGTAAAAAGCTTTATGTACAGCTGTAATTTAGGCCAGGCTGAACTTTAAATATCCTCCACCATTTGGAATGAATTTGACAATATTCAAAAATTAATTAAAATCATCAAAATACCGTATATAGAGAGGTACCATTATGGGGAAACTCTACAAAAACGTGGACCTATACAGACAACTTTCTGTCATAGGCTGTAGTATCCATTACGAACTTCAAATACCAAAATTCCGGTGAATAATGTCGCTGAAATCATTAAAATCCCGAATATTGGGAGCTACCGTTTTATGGGGGCTATACCAAAACGTTCCGTTTCTTTGCAAATGATATTCTTAAAAATCCACGTTTATAATCCTGATGATCCTTGAAAAAAAAAAGATATTCTTAAAAATCCACGTTTATTATTACACCCGTTTCTTTGAAAATGATATTCTTAAAAATCCACGTTTATTATTACACCCGTTTCATTGAAAATGATATTCTTAAAAATCCACGTTTATAGTCCTGATGATATTTGAAAAAAAGATATTCTTAAAAATCCAATTATAGTCCTGATGATCCTTGAAAAAAAAAGATATTCTTAAAAATCCACGTTTATGGAATGAAAAAAATTCCTTGATGATCCTTGAAAAAAAAAATATATTTTTAAAAATCTACGTTTATATTCCCGATGATCCTAGCCCTGATGGTTCTTGAATAAAAATATTTTTAAAAAAAATCCACATTATAGTCCTGATCGTCCTTGAAAAAATATTCTTAAAAAACAAAATTTATTGTTTTTAAAAAATCTTAAAAAATCCTCGTCCATTGTCTAGATGGTCCTTGAGAAAATATTCTTAAAAAATTCAAGTTTTTTGGCTAATGTTCCTTGAAAAAACATTTAAAAAAAATCCTCGTTCATTGGTCTGACGGTCCTTGAAATAATATTCCTATAAGATTCCTGCTGATTGTCCTCATGTTCCTTGAGAAAATATTCTTAAGACATTCTCGTTTATTGGTCTGATGGTCCTTAAAAAAATTTTCTTAAAACGTTTACTGACCCGTTAGTCCTTCAGAAATTAATCTAATCGTACTTGAAAATTTGGGAATATATGTACTCTGAAGAACCCTACGTTAATTGATCAGATGGTGCTTTATAGACCAAGTGTATTGTCCTTGAAAAAATGTTCTTAAAAAATCTATGTTTGTCGATCTAAAAGTACTTGAAAAATCGGGAATATATTTCTAAAACCCCTACGTTAATTGATCTGATGGGGATTTATAAACCAAGTGTATTTTCCTGATGGTCCTTGAAAAAATGTTCTGAAAAATCCACGTTTATTGACCTGATAGCCCTGAAAAAATGTTCTTAGAATCCAAATTATAAGCCAAATTTATTGTCCTTATGGTCCTTGAAATAAATGTTCTTAAAAATTCAAATTTATTGGCCTAATTACCTGAGAATACAAATTAAAAGCCAAATTTATTGTCCTGATGGTCCTTGAAAAAAATGTTCTTAAAAATTCACATTTATTGGCCTGATAGCCTTAGAATACAAATTAAAATAATAAAAAGTCCTGATGATCATTAAAAAAATATATCCTTAAAAATCCACCTTTAATTGGCCTGATAGCCCTTAGAATCCAAATTATAAGCCAAATTTATTGTCCTGATGGTCATTGAAAAAAATGTTCTTAAAAATTCACATTCATTGGCCTGAAAGCCCTTAGAATCCAAATTGTAGGCCAAATCCTGGCCTGTTATCCCTGAAAAAATGTTCTTAGAATTCAAATTTATTGTCCTGATAGTCCTAGAGAAAATAGTCTTAAAAAATCCACTTTAATTGGCCTGATGGACCTAGAGAAAATATTCTTAAAAAATCAATGTTTGTTGTCCTGATGATCCTAGAGAAAATATTCTTAGAAATCCATGTTTATTCTCCTGATGGTCCTTGAAAAAATATTGTTCAAATTATCCACTTTATTGGTCTGATGGTCCTTGAGAAATAATTCTTAAAATATCAACGTTTATTGGCCTGATGGTCCTGGAAAACTTAATCCAAAAAAACTTCCTTTTTGGTCCATAAAAAAAATATTTCTAAAAATCCACCTTTACTGGACTGATGGTCCTTGAGAAATAGTAGATATATCTTGAGAGTTTAGAGCTCAATCTTGTCTTACACATTTATTAGAATCCATTTCGATTATTTTGTATAACAATTTTTAAATGATTGTATTTGTTTGGATTTTGATACGCATTATTGTTGTTTTCACAAATAAATCCACACTGAGTTTCACAATCCAAATCATTGATCAGCATATCCTTTTTAATATTCAGACAATTTTCTTTGCCGCGATAATTGTCGGGATTTCCAGGCTTCCATAAATGAAATTCGGTTAAAGGGCGCCAAGAGTTCAGCCAGGTAAATTTACCATTTACCCCGACTGCCCCCAACCAGAGAATGCTGGTATTTCCAATGTTTCTAAAGAAAATGAAAATTCAATCGATTTTTATTTATATTCAAGATATGCATGAAATTCAACTTACAAATCATCGCTTATCAGAAGCGTTTGCAAATCCTTAAATTGGATATCATTTTCCAGCGAAAATAAATGCATGGATCGGTAGCTACATTCAAAAACGGCATCAAACCAGGTATACTGAAATGAATATTGAATGCAGAATATTAACAGTTCATTATAGAGGATTACCAAAACCAGCGTTTTTTGAGAATATTTTTTTCAAGGACTATCAGGACATTAAAGGAGGATTTTATTTAAGAACCAACAGAACAGACCAACAAAAAGTAGATTTGCATTTTTTAAAACAGTTATTCATTTTTAGGAACATCTTTTAACAACATTTATTGTTTGCAAGTCCTGGCGATCCTTGAAAAAAAAGATATCCTTAAAAACCCATTTTTCTTGTCCTGTTTATCCTTGTCCTCGCTGTTCTTGAAAAAATATGTATTTAAAAATCCACGTTAATAGTCCTGATAATCCTTTGAAAAGAAAAATTCTAAAAAAATCCTCGTTCATTGTCCTGACAGTCCTTGAGAAAATATTTTTAAAAAATTCAAGTTTATTGACAAACGTGAATTTGGAATATTTTTTTTCCGAGGACTATCAGGACAGGAATTAGTATTTTATTTAAGAACCAAAAGAACAGACCAATGAAATTATATTTGAATTGTTTAACAACATTTATTAATTTTTAAGAAACATTTTTAACAACATTTATTGTTTGAAAGTCCTGACGATACTTGAAAAAAAGATATTCTTAAAAATATACGTTTATTGTCCTGTTCATCCCTGAAAAGCCACATTTATTGTCCTGACTGTTCTTGAAAAATGATGTATTTAAATATCCAGGTTTATAGTCCAGATGATCCTTTAAACATAATATTCTTCTGAATCCATGTTTGTAGTCCTGATGATCCTTTAAAAAATTCTTAGTAATCCACGTTTTTAGTCCTGATGATCCTTGAAAAAAAATATTCCAAAAAATCCAAATGGTCCTGATGGTTCTTGAAAAAAATATTTAAAAAAACACATTTATTATCCTTATTGTCCTTGAAAAAATGTCCTGAAAACCAAATCTATTCAAGTCAAGACTGTCCATGAAAAAACTTCCAGATTTTTTTTGGAGTACCACCGCCGATTTGCAAAGTACTATCTTATGTGAATTTTTTAAATAATATTTTTAAGGACCAAAAAATGTATTACCTATAAAAAAATGTCCTTCATTTGGTGTTTTGAAATATATTTAGATTTTTTAAGAATATCTCTTCAAGGACTAGCAGACCAACAAAATTATATTTCTTACTTATTCAAGAACCAACAACAGTTTGTAATAATTTATTTCAAGGACTATCAGAACATTACACGCGGATTTTTTAAGAGTATTAAAGAGTTATTCAAGAACTATCTGACCACTAAACATTGTGTTTAAAGGATATTTTTTCAAAGGCTATTAGAGCAATAAAAATTGATTTTTTAAGAAACCTTTTTCAGGGACTATTAGGGCCAAAGAAAAATTAACTATTTTAAGAGAGTTTTTTTATAAATTTATTAGGAATATTTGTTCGACGATCAATAGATCAACAAACCTGGATACTGAAGAAATATGTTTTTAGGGACATTTACATATTTTTTTTTCTCAAGGATTTTTAAAAAATATTTTAGAAGTACCAATAACCGCGAATTTGTGAATAACTACCTAATGTGGGTTCTTACATAATATTTTTAAGTACCAAAAAAAGTTATAACCTGTTCACTTTTTTCCATAAAAAATGTCCGGCCAATTTGTGTTTAAATGTTTTAAGGATATCTCTTAAAGAACTAGCAGACCCACAAAATTAGATTTTATTTATAGAAGAACCAACAAACGTTTGCAACAATTTATTTTAAGAACTATCAGAACATTAGACGTGGATCTTTTAAGAGAATTTTTTTTTTCAAGGACCACCATTACATTAAGGCCACTAAGGATTAAGGATATTTTTTCAAAGACTATTAGAGCAATAAAAATGGATTTTTTTACGAATTTGGAATTTTTAGGAATATTTTGCAAGGACTCTCAGGCCAATAAAAAATAAACTGTTTTAAGAGAGAGTTTTTTTTATAAATTTATTAGGAACATTTGTTCGAGGATCAATAGACCAACAAACATGGATACTGAAGAAATATGTTTTTAGGGACATTTACATATTTTTTTCTCAAGGATTTTAATAAAATATTTTAGAAGTGCCAATAAACCATATTTTTAAGTACCAAAAAAAAGTTATAACCTGTTCACTTTTTTCCATAAAAAATGTCCGGCCAATTTTATTAGATTAGATGTCCGACCAACAATATTAGATTTTATTTATGCAAGGACCAAACATTACAAACGTTTGTAACTATTTATTTCAAGGACTATCAGAACATTAGACATGGACCTTTTAAGAGTATTTTTTCAAGGACCATCTGACCACTTAACATTATGTTTTAAGGATATTTTTCAAAGACTATTAGAGCAATAAAAATGGATTTTGTAAGGAATCCTTTTTCAGGCGCTATTGAACCAATAAACGTGAATTTTTTAGAAATATTTTTCAAGGACTTTCAATCCAATAAAAAATAAACTATTTTAAGAGTGTTTTTTAAAGAATCTATTAGGATTTTTTTCGAGGATCAATAGACCAACGAACCCGATCCTGAAGAAATAGTTTTTGCAGGACATTTAGATCAACAAACTTGGATGCTGAAAAAATATTTTTCAAGGACAAACAAATGTAGATCCTTAAGAAATATGTTTTCAAGGACTACCAAATGCGGATGCTTACATAATATTTTTTGAGGGACATTTAGGTCAAAAAATTTTAAACAAACTCAATTTTTATAAATATTTTTCCCAGAAATTTTTTTAAACTTTTTTAGAAGGCCCAATAATCTATTAGGATTTTTTTCGAGGATCAATAGACCAACGAACCCGATCCTGAAGAAATAGTTTTTGCAGGACATTTAGATCAACAAACTTGGATACTGAAAAAATATTTTTCAAGGACAAACAAATGTAGATCCTTAAGAAATATGTTTTCAAGGACTACCAAATGCGGATGCTTACATAATATTTTTTTGAGGGACATTTAGGTCAAACAATTTCGCAGAAATTTTTTTAAACTTTTTTAGAAGGCCCAATAATTGCGGCTTTGTGAAGGATTAATAAATTCAATGAAATTTTGATTTTGAAAATAATTTTTCAGGGGCATTTTGGGGAATATTTTTTTAAGGATGAATAGACAAACAAACGTCCATTCTGAAAAATATTTTTAAGGACATTTAGATCAACAATCTTGGATCCTGAAAAAATATTTTTCAAGGACAAACAACTGTAGATACTGAAAACATATGTTTTCAGGGACTACCAAATGCGGATTCTCAAAAAATATTTTTTTACGGTCATTTAGATCAACAAATGAGGATCCTAAAAAATATTTCAACGAGCTTATTTTTTTTTAATATTTTTCAAGGAATTTTGCAAACTATTTTAGAAGAACCAAATTGAATTTTCAAATAATTCATTAAGGACAAAAAAAAAGAATTACCTGCTCCCTTTTTTCTATAAAAAATGTCCGACCATTTTGTGTTTTAAAATATTTAGATTCTGATAATCCGACAAAATAAAAAGTGAAGAAAAACAGTAATGCTCTCATGTTGAAAACTATAAGTGAACTGTTTTTAGAATTCATAATCTCGAGAAACCGAGAAATGAAAGATATATTAATGAAATTTTATTTTCAAGAATGAGGGAAAAAAATTGACCGGGCAAAGCCATAATAAACAATAATCACCAAGTTGCCTTGTTCCATAATTTGCCACAGCTCTCCGCAATAAAAATGGGGTGCAGAAAATCCCCCGAATTGATTTCGAATTCACCACATTCCCAAAAAGCAACAACCCAACAACACATTTCCTTTTAAATCAAACAATAAACAGAAAAAAATGTCAGATAAACAAATCGACTTATCGCATATTTTGAATATAAATTTACTCCACGGCGAATTCGACTCGCTTAGTTTCATTTAATTTGTCGCCATGAAAGCTACAACATTTCTCTTGGGCTCGCTTCTCATAGTCCCCCTAATGGGATGGCATGCCCTGGCCGGCAAACACTATACCACAAAGAAGGGCATCCAGTACTACATTGAACATCTGTATCAAGTAATTGAATATTTTTTTTTAATTTTAAATAACATCTGTGGAATATTCAATGTGATCCATTTTTTCCAGTACACCTGGTTCGAAGCCTATTTCGAGTGTGCCTATCGTAATATGAGTCTCTACACATATGGAAGTCAGGCTGAATTCAATGACTTGTATGAGCTGCTGACAAGTGATAAATTGTATGTATATCTCAAGTCTTCCATAAGAAGACCAAGTGGTCCCCCAATAAGAAGACTAAGTGGTCTCCTATGAAAAGACAAACGGAATTCCCATGAGAAGACGAACTGGTCTGCCATGAGAGATCACTATGTCTCTCAAAGTCAGCCCAGTTGATATAATCGTTGAGGTCCCGTTTGAATCCAGTTGGTCTTCTAGAAGATCTCTGGATCTGCTTAATCCCTCATCCTCATTGTGTTCTCAATGGTAAACCTTGTAGTCCAACTCATAATTTCATGATTTTACAGCCCAGATAAACCGCCGCATGCCTGGATCGGTGCTGTCGGTGTTAAGGGAAAATTTATATGGATAAAAAATCAAAAGCCCATGACAGAGCTACACTTGTGGGCCGAAAATAATCCGGACAATTCCAAGGACATAGAGCATTGCCTGCAAATTTGGCATTCGAAAAAATTTCTAAACGATCTAGATTGTTTGCGAAAAATCGGGTTTGTTTGTGAAATTCGGCGAGATGCCGAGGCGCTGAGTCCCGCTGCTACTGGATATGTTGAAAGTGGAAAATATAAAGGACTAACTATTAATCTATATCAAAATAATGTTCATTAAATTGACGACAAGTGGAAATAAATGATAAGTTTCTCCGAGACTCAACAAATGTGGATTTTAAGGATAATTTTTTTTAAGAATTTTCTTTCAAGGATCAACAAAAGTAGATTTTTAAGAATATTTGTTCAAGGATCAACAAACGTGGATTTTTTAAGGATCAACAAATGTGGTTGTTTTAAGAATATTTTTTCAAGGATCAACAAAAGTAGATTTATTAAGATTATTTTTTTCAAGGATCAACAAAACTTGAATTTTTTAAGAAAATTTTTTCTTGGATAAACAAACGTTGATTTTTAAAGAATATTTTTCCAAGAACAATCAGGCCAATGAACGTGGATTTTTTAAGAAAATTTTTTTCAACAATCAACTAACATGGATTTTTTTTAAAAAAATATTTTGTTCAAGGATCAGCAAATGTGGATTTTTTAAGAATATTTTTTTTTCAAGGATCAGCAAACGTGGATTTTTTAAGAATATTTTTTTTTCAAGGATCAACGAACGTGGATTTTTTAAGAATTTTTTTCAAGGATCAATAAACGTGGATTTTTTAAGGATATTTTTTCAAGGATTAACAAACGTAGAATTTTTAAGAATATTTTTTTCGAGGATCAGCAAACGTGGATTTCTTAAGGATATTTTTTCAAGGATCAACAAACGTGGAATTTTTAAGAATATTTTTTTTCAAGAATCAACAAACGTGGATTTTTTAAGAATATTTTTTCAAGGTGAATTTTTTTAATAAAGGTGAATTTTTTTAAGAATATTTTTTTGAAGAATCAACAAACGTGGATTTTTACAAATATTTTTTTCAAGGATTCACAAACGTAGATTTTTTAAGAATATCTTTTTTCAAGGATCAACAAACGTGAATTTTTTAAGAATATTTTTTTCAAGGATCAACAAACGTGGATTTAAGAGTATTTCTTCAAGGATCAACAAAAGTGGATATAAGAGTATTTCTTCAAGAATCAACAAACGTGGATTTTTTAAGAATGTTTTTTTTTTCAAGGATCAACAAACGTGGATTTTTAAGAATATTTTTTTTCAAGGATCAACAAACGTAGATTTTTTAAGAATATTTTTTTCAGGGATCAACAAACGTGGATTTTTTAAGAATATTTTTTCAAGGATCAATAAACGCGGAATTTTTAAGAATATTTTTTTCAAGGATCAATAAACCCGGAATTTTTAAGAGTATTTTTTTCAAGGATCAATAGACGTGGATTTTTTAAGAATATTTTTTTAAGGATCAACAGACGTGGTGTGACGACGTGTTTTCACTTTGAAGCTGGGGTAGGTTCAGCGGGGGCCAGAGTCGTCACAAAAATTTATTTGTTAGGACATAAAGAGAGAGAGAGAGCGAAGCAAAAATATTTTCTTAAAACGTTATAAATTTATTTCCTTAAATAACACTAAACACTACACTAAACACAATAAAATCACGTTCAGAACGTTTTACGAAGAACACTAAATCACAAAGTTCAGTCGAAATGTTAATAAACGGGTAGCAGTGGTGGCAGCTTGGCACAGCGGCGGCCCGATGAATAGGCGAGCGACGAATAGAGTGGCGGCAGCTTGGCACAGCGGCGGCCCGATGAATAGGCGAGCGACGAATAGTAGTGGCGGCAGCTTGGCACAGCGGTGGCCCGATGAATAGGCGAGCGACGAATAGGGTGGCGGCGGCTTTGGCACAGCGGCGGCCCGATGAATAGGCGAGCGGCGACTAGGGTGGCGGCGGCTTTGGCACAGCGGCGGCCCGATGAATACGTCAGCGGCGAGGAGTAGTGGCGGCAGCTTGGCACAGCGGCGGCCTGATGAATACGCGAGCGACGAATAGGGTGGCGGCGGCTTTGGCACAGCGGCGGCCCGATGAATAGGCGAGCGGCGAATAGGGTGGCGGCGGCTTTGGCACAGCGGCGGCCCGATGAATACGTCAGCGGCGAGGAGTAGTGGCGGCAGCTTGGCACAGCGGCGGCCTGATGAATACGCGCACGACGAATCGGGTGGCGGCAGCTTTGGCACAGCAGCAGCCCGATGAGTACGTCAGTCGCCGTCAACGCAGCCCGAAGAATAGGGAGTATTGCTACAGCCCTCACTCGACCCTGCGTTCAGTCGCCGTCAACGCAGCCCGAAGAATAGGGAGTATTGCTACAACCCTCACTTGACCCTGCGTTCAGTCGCCGTCAACGCAGCCCGAAGAATAGGGAGTATTGCTACAACCCTCACTTGACCCTGCGTTCAGTCGCCGTCAACGCAGCCCGAAGAATAGGGAGTATTGCTACAACCCTCACTTGACCCTGCGTTCAGTCGCCGTCAACGCAGCCCGAAGAATAGGGAGTATTGCTACAACCCTCACTTGACCCTGCGTTCAGTCGCCGTCAACGCAGCCCGAAGAATAGGGAGTATTGCTACAACCCTCACTTGACCCTGCGTTCAGTCGCCGTCAACGCAGCCCGAAGAATAGGGAGTATTGCTACAACCCTCACTTGACCCTGCGTTCAGTCCAGTCCAGTCACCACAAATAGTCAAGGCTTATTGTTTGGCTTACTAAGACTCAATTCAACCGAGGTTGCGCGCCTTTTCTTCCTCCCAATCACACTTGACTTACCAGCCATCAACAGAAGACTGATCTCGATTGTGTGAAATGCGTCTCCTTTTATACCTTTTTGGCTGGACAACGATTGTTGTTTTCTCATGACAGCAGCTGATCCCAATCTGACAGTTTTGCGTAGTTCCGCCATTTGCCACCAGGGGTTCCAATGTTGTATTTTAAGTATACTTCTTTCTACTAGGGGACCTGTGTGACCGTTAATATTCAAATACATTTAAATTACATGACCCTGAGTAGCTGTTAGTTTAATTCATAACTTAAATATTTTAATTCATTTTCAAACAAAAAATATAATTCATAGTTGATGTATATAACATACGTAAGTAAAAATGGTATTTAAAATAATAATGTACCCCAAAAACGAAAGCATGACTTTTGGGCGTTACATGGCATCTCTTCCTCCCTCTGATTTTTGATTCCTTGATTTGCTTTCTCTATTGCTATTGGGTTTCAATAGCCAGGAAGCCCTAGGGTGTTATGTAACCTTTTATTTCTCCGACATGGGCACTTTGGTTCGACTATATCTCGGTCGAATAGGAAGGTATGTTAGAGACCAATTGCAGAAATTCGGAGAGATACCTTCACTACCCCGTCTGCTGATATTATTATGCGGTACTGCTTGCCATCTTGTTTAACAATTCGCTTCAGTTTGTGTCCCTTTTTCCAATTGTTTTTAAACTTCTCGATACGGATTTGTAGGTTTTCGGGATAATTTGGCAGTTCGAGAAATGTGTTATCGTTCACGGGATTGTCTGTCGAGGACGATGGCGTTGACTCAGTTGGGATTTCAGTGACTGGCAATTTGATTGTACTTGGTGTGCTATTATTCTCCTTACTGGGTATAAACACTTCATCGATGGAAGGTTGACTGCTACACAATGTTGGCTGATGAGGTGTCATCGTTTGGCTTGTGGATGATGATGAAGACGACGAGGCTGATGAGGATGAGGATGACGATAAAGACGACGAGGCTGATGAGGATGAGGATGACGATCGGGAAGACATCGATGGTGATGACAGTTCGACAACGTGTCCCGGCGTTCCTGGTAATGATTTATCTTCCTTCACGTTGGGGGACCTGTGATCGTCCGATATGACGGCAGCATTGGATTGCGATGGAATTTGTACGTCATCACTATGCAACAGATTTGCTTGTTCGGTTATGTTATATAGCGGTGATGATGGAGGAACACCAACCAGCGTCTGCCATTGGGTCCACCACTCAGAACTAGGATCTTCGGAAACTGTCACAAAACTACTTGCGGTCGATCTGGAGTCTTCTTCTAAATGTGCGAAAGCATGTGAGGATGAAGTAGGAACCTCCTCATGTTTGTGTGAGGTGTTGGATATTGAATGGATATCTTCGGTGTTGATCTCTTCCCCTATCGCGGGTGTGGGTGAGGGCGTACGATGATTATCCGGCGGTGGGTTGGTTATTTCATATATTGGATTTTCCCCGGAGTCGGGGACCAAAAGCTGCACAGTAACTGTTCTCTCATAACAGCGAAATCCGAGATATTTGTATTGGCTATCTTTCTGACGGACAAATCCCAGACCATACCTTTTTGGCGGAGACGAGGAACGTTGATCTTCGTTATCCGACTCATCCAGCGAGGAATTATTCGAGGATAAGGGTGACTGTGCTCGCCGAGTCACTGAGGTTTCTAAGTAACCGTAAAACATACGCCGACATTCTTCATCCATTTCGAAATTTGATTGAGATTCACCCGACTCCTCCATATTGGGCCGAGGAAGAGTTGATGCGTCATCTGAGTCACGACACCATTCTTTACCCGGTGTAACAGGCATTTCTGAGCACCTTGAAGTGGGTGTTGAGAGCACATCGGAAGCCGGCTTAAAGCTATTTGGCGAACCAAAACACGGGGCGTAGGTTGGTGTACGCGGGACGTCACTACTAGGCTGGGTTTCCTCGTTCAAAGAGTCAGTTTCATCGATATCGTCGCTGTTGTTTTCGGTCGTGTTACACTTTTGCTGTGGAACGTCATTCGGGGTTGTGCTGCACATTCGGTAAAATATTTGGTGCTGGGGCGATGAGGATTGACTGCTACCCTTTCTTGGATTGGGCTTACGGTATTGATTTGTTCTCCTCTTTCGGCTGGTACTAGGACCTTCGTCTAAAAATATTGTCCTTCGCCTTTGAGCCTCGACTTGTTCCAGATGAGCTCGAAATTTCTCCTTCGCCCGTTTGAATTTTTTCGTGTTGGGGCTATCTTGCTCCATCGTGATGTTGAAATTTTGAGAATTGCGATGGTTTTTGAAGTATGGGCTTATATTAGGACACTGATTAGTTTGGGTATTGTCAATTTAATGTCTAAAAATAAAATACGAAATTATAATGAAATGGCATCACATAAACGTAAGTGGAACTACAATCAACATTCTACTTCTATGTCTACAATTTAAT